TACCTACCTACCTACCTACCTACCTACCTACCTACCTACCTACCTACCTACCTACCTACCTACCTACCTACCTACCTACCTACCTACCTACCTACGCACGGATGGTTACTCGGTACGGCGTGATTAGGTAGGTAGGTAGGTCGTCGTAGTCAGAAGTCGACCGGGCCTCCTGAGCCTCAGGCTTGAAACCTCTACTAGGAACCTCGCATATTATTAGTGCCGTATTCATTACTATACACGCGGATACACCTACCCTAGGTAGGTACTCCGTACATATACCTACTTTCCTGCACAAGGTCGTTCTAGTAGGTTTGCCGCCAGCTTTGAAACACAATGAGGAGGGCAAAATCTTGTTTTCTCGACTTCAGTCGACCCTTGGTCACTTCCCCAGGGCGTATCCGGCGCCTCAGTCTCACCTCGCCTTGTTACATCGCTACCTGTACCCTTGCTCTAGACGCAAACAAGTCCCTGTCACTGCCAGGAGTCGCAGCTCATTTGTAATTTGTAATCTGCCTCCCCGCGATCATTGTGAGCAATCCTCCCACAACTGCGGCCTCTGGTACTCCGTAGAGCCATATCATACATGAACAGAACCCACTTCGGGGTTGACGCCTTCCTGAGAATAGTATTTCGCTGTCACGATAGTAACCTCCCATTGTAGCCTCGCTTCGGCAGCCGCAACCTGTGGAAAAGACTTCCGTTTCCACATTCAAGTTGCTGAGCATAGTGGCGTCGGTATTTCTCTGCTCTCCGCGCCCTGCGCATCACATCTCATGAGATCCTGCCTCGTGACAAAACTGGTCTTGTATGCCTCGTTTCTATGCCCAAAGAGACCCATGATACGTCAAATTAGTGGTGTGTCACCAATGTCGGTCATGACTCCTCCACATCAGGGTTGGCAACAAATAACCTGACGCCCGGTTGCCCCATGCTCATTGTTCGCTCATCTACACTTCCTCTCCGTCGTAAATCATCAGCCTGTTTGACCTGCGCCATTGCTTGTTGAACTGAACTGGGCCCAGACATGTCCTTCAACTCGCCGAAAGAATCCTCGCTGGAGTGGCTGGCTGATCTGTCATTATCGTTGAAATAGTCACTGTTCGTTTTATTGGCGGAGAGCGCCGTTTCAGGGTCCTCGGGAATTCCATGACCAGGCGAGCCCTCCCCATTTGGAGGTGTGCTGGTACTGCTGAACCGACCTTGATCTGGCCTGGGATATCCGCTTCGGTATTTCGCACTGTTTGTGCTGCTTCGACCACTCCCTGTTCGAGCGTGTACCATACTGTTCTCACCTAGACTCTGGCCTTCCTCCTCATCACCTAGCATTTCATTTGCACTGAGTCGTAATGGCACGGAAGCACCGTTCAGGTTGGCAGGGACGTAGCCGGGGGCCTTGGGAACTCCTCCATGTCGAATCTTGCCCACGACTCCGCCAGAACTGATTGTGCTTGTCCGTCCTGACGATGTCAGACCTCGTACTTCGAGGGCTGCGCGCTGTTTGGCAGCTCTTTGTGCTGCCGCCAATCTGGGATCGATACTTTGTGCCCGATCGCACCAGACTGTGGCCTTTTGCTTCCGCATCAACGCGACGTAAGATGTGGGGCTGTTTGTAGATGTCGAACGACCTGATGTAGAACGGCGTGGCAAGCTTGTGGCAGAGGTGGTAGTTCCCTGTCTGTGCATATTCATATTGTTTGAGGGAGAAGATCGACTGGAATGTGAAGACGATGGGACCCGAGAATGGCCAGGACCAGCCTGTGTCGACGGAGAAGCAGAGGTCGAGAAGCGAAAGGGGGGCGCAGGGAGTGTACTGGAGGAGGTGCTTCGAGAATGTCGGTGATTGCTAATCGTCCGCACTGGCAGTACTTGAGTACTTGTAGTTGCAATGTATTGTCTTCCTGCTCGATTGAAACTGGCCGGAAGCGCCGAGGACTCTGACTGCGAGGGGCGAAGAGGTAAGGATGATGTCGGGGTGGGAGAAGATGTGTAATTGTAAGGGAGTGTCGGGTCTGGGATGGTCGTCCCAGTCACCGTCAACACGCTCATCGAGAGTTGTTGGTTCTTGAGGACGGGCGAAGCTGGAGGTGCGCAGTAGGTTGGGCTGCCCCCGAGGAGCAAGGACGGGGAAGGACGGCAGTGCGTAGAGGATGAGCGCCGGCTGCTGAAGCACCCTTGGACTCAGATCGGTGGGGATCGCTGGGTCCAAACTGCGCGTCAGTGCTCTGTAATAATGCTGGGAGCCAGGTTTGGCCGGGCGCCGAAGATCCGGGCGTGAAAATTGGCAGGTTGCAGGCAGATGATCACTGCAGGTAGTCTGATTCTGCACCGCAAAGCTGAGACTGAGAGTGTTGGGAGGACGGAGCGTGGAAGCGGTGTAAATGGGGATCGCTTGATGTCCAAGAGAGGAGGTTATCTAATAACTGGCAGTCTGGTGAAGCGTGTGAGCAAGCGAGCGGCGCCGCAGGATGAAGCGACAGTGACTGTCTCGTATCGCTAACCCCTCCCAGCGGACGATAATGACTGCTATAAATGATTCCTGAGGGTGCAAGGCCTTGCTCAATTGTGGGCCAGCACCTAGCAAGAGCAAGCCATGCGAGGGATCCCGTTGATAACTTGAGTCCGAGCGTCGACTTAGTGGACGAATGTCGAGGGGATAGGTAGGTAGCCTTGCAGACTCGCCGGGAGAGGACGATGTGATGGGCGTGGCCGGTGATTTGTAGGATCCCTGGTGGTGGTGACGACTTTTACTCAGGATCACTGCGGGCGTTTTGGTTTGTGCAGGTAGGCAATTCCCAACAAGAGCAGCAGGAGTAGGAGTACGGAGTATACAGGAGTGGGAGGTTGCAGTACCTACGGTACTCTAGTGTCTAATAAGAATCCCAAACTGCTCAGTTGCATCTATCTAGACAAAGCATGCATGGTTCATGAACGGAACATGAACGGAACGCTACAAGGATTGTTGCTAGACACTACACTATTGCAGGGACATGGATGCGGCGGGAAAAAGACACAGTCAAAGCTTAGGCGCAGGCGGCTTTCTTTTCCCGCCGTTTCTTCACAAGTCAGAGTGACTTCTCGATACCACATACCACCATACCACCATACAGTACCTCTCCACCTCTACCTCTCCACCACCACCATCGGTGTTCAACCGTGCCGACCAGACTTCTAAGTTCTGACAGGCGACAAACGTGATTCATTCCATCATTTCATCATTTCATCATTTATATTGGTGATTTCTACCCGCTTACTCCAGTGCCCCTGGCTTCTGTCAGGCGACCATGCCTATCGTCCAAGCTTCTCACTCGCTGCCGCCTCTGATGTTCATTCTCAGCTGAAGCCTCAGAGCCTGCGCCCCCAACCCAACCCGTCAATAGCGGCACCACTGTCCTTTCAGCTGTTTAACCATTTGCAGAGGAATGCGACCCCCTCAACCACTCAGGGATTATCTCCTGCTTCGAATTACTGAAACGGGTCATTTGTTTCTAATTCTGGTGTGGGTGCTCCCCAATGTAACTGGAGCATCTCCAATAATGTTCTGCAGTGTTATGTATGTCCCTGTCCTCCTCCTGCTCTCCAACACGATGCCTCCCTGCGCCAAATGCAAACCGTTCGCATCTCCTCTCGTATGTCCAGTGAGGAAGACTCCTAGATGCAACAAATGCCAGACGCAATCCGCCGCCAGACGGTGAATGGATCTACCTGCTAGCTTAGACAGATCATAAAGACTTTTTGAACACTGGAAAAGAGTGCAAAAGAAAATGCGCGGTATCCTCAGCTGAGGATGGCAAGATTGCAAGCTAAGTGGTTGATAGTATCCCCTCAACTGGAAAGGCCGAGAAGCGATCGAGATCGGGAGCTGCTGAACATCCGTCGAGTCCCGTGTTGCCCAAAATGTGGTCCCAACCTTCTACACATATAACCGCTTCTGTGCGTCACTTGGTCTCAGACTCAGCACCACTCAGGGACCTGCACTGTGCCTGCTTCACCTGCCCATCACGGTGTCTTAGGTGGCCAGCGTCCATTTGTACTACAAGGATCGCCCTGACAGCGTGACAGACATGGTCGGCTGCTGTAGATCGTACGGCAAGGGATCGCTCAGTACCTGATCGACCGGACAGCTGGAATGCCAAATACTCCGTCAGGAACTTTCCTGGATGAGAGGATCGCTTCATGTCAAATCTGGGAATGCCAATGCAGTGAGCTTTGCTTTGTCCAACTTAGAGCTGGGGTTATCCTGGATTGTTATGTGCTCATTTGGAATGAGCTCCCCTGTTCATTGTCGTCGAGTGACTCTTGTTGGGTCCCACCTCGCTTTATTAGGAGATGTATGTACGACCCCAGCTACCGTCTCCTTGGATTCGGAGGCGATCTCAGAAGTGGACAGTCGGTATCATTACACATGTCGAAAGCCTACCAAATCTCATACAGGATTTCTATAGATTGGGCCATCCAAGACACGTGAGACAAGTTCATTAAAGGCAAAATAAGGATCGAAGATTTGGTTTGGCGCCAAGATAGCATCACAATGCTTCCCCTACGGCTGAGATTCAAACGGATGTCTCGAGCAACCAGCAAAGTCAGGAACCGACAGATTTCAGCGCGACACGTATATGACCTGACACAGATGTCAGAACTGAGATCGTCCCACCTGGCTAAAGGGGGCTTCCTGAGATCTATCACATCACCATCCACGATCGTGCTAGGTTGACTTCATGCCTTGGTGTCAACGTATCAGCCAAGCCACACAACAAGCTGTAGATCTTGTTCCACAGGTTGTAGATGTCGAGTCGTCTCGACAACCAACTCCATCACTGTCACGGTCACGACTGGCGCGACATTCAAGACACCAAGCAACCGGGTAGATGGTAAGTAAATCGTCCCTGCACGATATTACTGCTTACCTGCTTCCAACCACTACCTCTTACCTTCATGAGATTGATCTCCGTTCCTCGAACAGCCGTTTTGTAATGAGCAATGCTAGATAGGCGACAAGAAAATTACGCCATATCGATACAAGGCATGCGCAAGGCTGCATTGGCCTGGAAGGTTGCCGGTCAGCTAGCCAGCGAGTGCGTGTCTCTGCAGACAGCACCAGCCGGGAGTACAAGTTGCTCAGTCTCACATCATGCTTCGCCGTGAGCTGACCTCAAGTACCAAGCGTTAGTGGCAGACGCAGTGGAAGAGTAATCCCAAACAGATGTTTCAAAGAGTGATCAAACGACCTACTCGAGTCTGAGTCGGAGTCGGAGTCGGAGTCGCAGTGCCAGCGCATCAACTGAGGTGAGTGGGGCCTGCAAGGACGGCAAAAGACTCATGCTGTCGGTGAGCGGTGCTTGCAAGGGACACATGGCAAGAGGATCTTCGGCTTCGAGATCGTTTAGCAACAAGGAAATAACCTATTGTCGAGTCAGTGTGAGCACGAAGCCTGACGTGGCCTCTTCTCCGAGGTCGATGGAGGACAGACCTTCGAGCCACGTTCTGCAGCATTTCTGCAACATTTCTGCAGCGCCACCTACAGCCGGGTGGGAGGTCTCTCGAAGGCATGATTGTTAGCTTTATGGTTGTTTAACACCCTGGGTTCTATACCCCTCAAGCGGCACCTAGGCTTAGTGTCATGCATGTAGGCGCGACACAGTCGATGTTGAGCGAGTCGGAGTCTGTCACCTTCTGGAGGCACTCATCAAAGCCTAGGGATCAGCCAGTTATACTCAGGAGACGAAGGCACAGCGTCTTATTGTAGCTTCTCTTGTACCACTCAGGAACTAGGCGGGTCGTGTTCTGGATGCAAAGTGGGCGATCCTCCGGGGACTGAAGGAGCGTGTTTCGAGCACCGCCATGCGAGGAAAAATCTAGGAATGTCGGCTCGGAGCGCAGAGAAGGGTCGCTAAGTTGCGGCTTGACAGCCCCTTGGACGCTCAACGAGTGGCGCTGAGCTTCTGCCAAAAGCCCTGATTAGCCTCAACTAATGCAGCTGCATATGCATTCGTTGGCAAAAAACGTCGTCAGGGTCTGCAAGTCATCAAGCGCTGTGCTGTGCTGTGCTGTGCTTTGTTCAACTCTTCTTCTCTGGCCATGCTGCATCGCTGGGTGGTAAGACGGTTTGGTCAGTTGGGCGCAGCCATGAATGGGTCTCACCGTGTCTGAAGCCTTTGTGGTGTATTCTTGTACTGCACGCTCGCATATTGTGCTTGGTAGTCGTTGTTGTTACCATCGTCGTTGCTACCGTCGTCGGCGGTGTTGGGTACTGTGCCTACTACCCACGAGCCTCCCCCGCATTTTGCAACTGCGCGACTGCCTTCCTCAGGTCACTTACTTCTCAACTGCTAGAGCGTGACCCCAGCTATCTTCTCATATCCCGTCTACCGGCCGAATCCTTTACCGCAGCTGCGCTCAATTGCAGATCACGGGTACAGATACTTACCTCCACGTTTCACGCTCCTCCTTCACACGGATTGCCCAAGAGGAAGCCCACTGCAACACCTGACAGGGTCCCAGAGAGACTCTCTCCCACGTTCGCTGCTACTCGCCTTTCTCTCGCTATCCCTGCGCTTCCGAAGCAATCCAAATTACTACGGCGCCAATGCAACATTGTACTGTTGAGAATCCTTCATTCCCGACCTGACTCTGGCAGTACGTGAGTCGACCGCGAGCGCAATCTGGAATGGAACTCTCCAGCGGATGACACAATCACCTGGGGCCAAGAGTGTTGTGGGAAATCCAGGTTGGTTCCCAGGCCCTTTTCCGGTCGTCTTAGATTACGTCTAGCTCTGCTCATACGCTGTGACAGTAACAGGTCCTCTTTCTCACCCGGCGCCTTATCCCACAGACAATGCGCAAGATCATGCCGAATCTATGTCAAGCCCTGAACCTCCAGAGCCTACCTCGCAAGAGGTTACGAAGGCCAGATACACCCCTAGCCAACCTTCTGCCAGCGATGGCCAGCAAAAGAGTAATAGGGAGGAGCCGGACACGGACAGGCCTCTAACGAGGAATGCCAGGAGATTTTCCGCTACGCCAGGGGAACCGATACCGCAGATGGATGGGACGAGCCGAGAAATCCCATTCGCGCATATGAGGGTGCATTTCGAAGACTTCGCGATGCAACTGCGACTGCATCGACACCACGAACACCGGAAACGTATACTTTCTCATCGCCGAAATCGATTGCAGAATGCTGTAGCTCTATCTGCCCGGCTTCACCGTGTAAGTTCCTGGGTACACGACGGCCTGGTCGAAATAACTCAACAGGCGGATGCAAGTGGATTTACACGCCTGCACCAGCACACGCACGATCTGGTCGATTTGTGCTTCTCCCATTGGAATCATGAGATCCAAGGTCAAGATCCCGTGTATACGTCAAATGCCTCCGTTAAGGAGCCCTTTCTCTCCCAATTACCACCCTCAGCGCAACAAGACTGTCTCGAATTTATTCAGACGTTACGCAACAACCCCCGGTTTCTCGTCGAGAGATTCAAAGCAATGTCTCCAGCACAGATTTCGTCTCTGTCCACATCTCCTAAGTTTCAGGAGCTCTCGGAATCTGTCCTGACTTCCTTGTCACAAAATCGCGGAAGAGCTTCGGTGAGGAAACGAGTCAAAGCCTATTCCAAAGACTTGGAAGACTACGCTTCTTCCTTTGAGCGATCTAACCCTCTGTCATTCCTTCTCCACAACATCTATGCACCTTATCAGGACGTCGAAAGTCCCGAGAGCAAACTCAGATTTGCGACATGGTCGACAATTTGCTCTAGCCTGATGGTTGAGTCTGCACATGCCTCCGACGCTCTTATGGGACAGGTCCTGAGTATGTTTGCAAGTTTGTACGAGTGGCAAATCAAAGACCGTTTGGAGTTGTTCCTGATGTCTGTCTTGCAAAGAGGTGCATTTCTAATCGACATCGTGGAAAACTCGGCAGCAGGCCCGCCGTCGAATCTCGGAATTCTCAACACATTCAATACTCCACAAGCCCATGAGTTTTTTGATGAATCTGTCAGAGAGCTGTTCGAAATCCTGTCCTGTGAAGGGGGTATGCCAATTGGCGCTCTTCATTTAGGCCGAGCCATCATAGGAAAGCTTCCCACGGTTGAGCTTCAGAGCCAATTCCGTGGTCATCTGTTCTTTCAATGGTTTCTCAAACACTTCCTTCGGATCACGATTGGCTACCCTGAGGTACTTGCTTCCCCCTTGCAAGGATCCGTCAGCTAACCTCAAAAGGATGAAAAAATGCTCCTCCAATTCCATATCAGTGATAGAGCAAGGTCGCATTTACTTCATCAACTGTGGGACCGTGCATGCTCTAGAGCAACTGATACTGTCAGTCCGATGTACGAATTACACCTTTCTATTGCATTGTCTAGCCGCTGACAATTGTTAGGCGTGCTCAACCAGTTGATCCTGTGATACAAAACTATGTCCTTGCGATGATCAGCCAACTTGAGGCAGACGAGCATTGTTTCGACCCATATCAAGGCAGCAGGTCCCCGAATGATCCTACGGCACCATGTGACCCTCCTTTCCTCTCCATATGTGCAGCCGATGTCGCACATGTTCTCGAGGCTCTGAGCCCTCAATTCATTCATACGTCAAGTCCTTATGATTCTTTTTTAAGTTCATCGCATTCGATCTTCAGGATGCAATACTCCCATGCTAGCAGTAAGTTCAACAACTTGCGGCGACGAATACTGGCCGTGATCGAGCCTGGGCACTCCTCCAAGAACATTCACCCTTGCCATGAAAATTGGGCGCAGCTCTCAATTTCTCCGGCTGGGGTGCTCTCTGCAGTTGTACCTGATGGAGCTTCAGAGGTCACAATGAGAATGGAGGAACTTGGGAATCTTCATCTCGCCGAAGAAGCCGCGTTTCGTCTGGTCGAAGGACGTTTGCGCTCAGACAGAGGGCAAGTTTTTGATATAATTCCCAGTACAAGGTCCAAGGCATCTTCCCTTGCCGAAATGTTCGCAGCAGAAGCAAGATCGGCCCATATCAAGACCGACAGCGTCACGGCGCTGTACTGGCAGGATGCCCTTGCATTCTTACGTCGACATTATCCTCTGACTGTATTGACAGAGGATGACACAAAGGTCCTTGGTCCCATTACAGAGAAACTGAGGAATGGTCAAATGCAAATTGCACTGGATTGCCAGAAACTGGAAGAAGAGGTTGCTCAACTGGAAACTTTGTACAACTTTGCAACAGCAAGGATATCGAAGCTTTCCGTATGGCTCGACAAAATCCGAGTGAAACTCTGGTATAAGATGGATGTGGTGAGCTCCGGCGCCTACGAAGATGCGAAGAATATCGCGACAGCACTGAATAATATGGCATTATCAAAATTACAAGGATATGTGCCGAGTCAACGAGGAGCAAATTCGCCAGAGGCTAGCCGGCCGGGTACCTCAGACACCTCCGCCTCATCGTTATTTGAGCAGCCTCGAATTGACACCATGAGTCTCCTAAAAGCCCCGGCCGAACACGGTGGGCCCAGGAAGCTTGCCGATGCTCAGATTGAGTTGATAAATAAATGGCTAGAACGCAACCACGTGGACAACTTTTGCAAAGGGGAGGAAAGAATCCATCGTTTCTGCATGGAGGTGAAAATGGCGATCAAGAAGCTCGTGGGGGAAACACTCAGCGAGAGCCCCGTATTGTGGTCGAGTGACCTTTTCACACGGGAAAGGAATCTTTTCGACATTCATGCCAATACAGGTTTCAGTGCCCAGCCAAGTACCAGATCTGCCAGTGTCTGGAGTGAACCCCTATCATCGAGCTCGTTTCCATCCAGGACGGGATTCTTCGGCTCACGAGCCTCGTTCTTCAGCCAAGGCTCAAGCAGGCTGGGAAGGGACTTGTTGGGGAGCGACCTGGCTTCGTTGATCAGCTCGCCAGGCCGGGCAACAACTGTGACTACCCTGGAGTCCGGCAGCAGCGTATGGTCACCTCCTCAATCAAATCCAAGATCGGTGACGTCGGCATCATCGTTGTCGAGACCAGGATCGATGTTGGAAGATCATGGATGGAATCGGCTGACCGACCACAATCGGCAAAAGGCCAATTTTCTGGATCAACTACAGCAGGACCTGGTCTGCCTGTTGCTGTCCGATCTCGGATGTCCGGTTTGGAGCTGTGGAAGCGAAACCGATGCTTGGATGGACACAATGCGGCAAACTGCGAGTATTGTGGAACGGCTAGAGCAGAGGGCTGTTTTGGCTCGACTGCATCGTAACGCAGACAGCCGACGTTCTGCTGTAACATCTGATTCCAGGGCCAGTATGAAGCGGTGGGGACGAAGCCAGAGCGCGGATGCAAATTCACAGCAAGCCCCGGGTCACGGCCGGACTGCAGATGCGCATCCTTTCGAGTCGTTGCTCAATTTCGAGGGCTCCCGTACTGACGCCGGCGAGTTTTCATACCACAGTGCATTCAGTGACGTGCTCTCTCGGGTGCAGAAGCATGTGGATCCTCACTCAAAACTAAAGGCCATCTACGACTTCAAAACTTTGTCTCAGGCCTTTCACAAAAGTCGAAGGTATCTGCCCCCAGCAGGAAACGAAATATCACGAGTAGACGGAGTCAATTCGGAAGAGCTTTTGCGACGACGCAGTCTGAACCCAAGTGTGCTATCGGCGAATCTCAGCCGGCATGAAGGGAAAGACGTCAAGACTCGTCCCTTTCAAACTGATAATGAAGACAATCTTACGACGCTCTTGAAACAACTCCTCTTTGCTCTGCAACCCAAAACCATCTTCCGAGACTTACAATACGTTGCTGCTTTTGTGTCTTCTCAAACTTTGGCAGATACCGAAGTGGGCCGAGCCTTTCTCCATGTCGGTCTCGCTGCCTTAGCTTGGAAGGATGAGGTGTGTCGAGGTATGGTGGACGTGGCGGACCGCATTGTGGTCAGAGACTCGATCAAGAGAGATGCTCGTGGACGCGAGCGTAACGAGCCATCGATCCTGAAGGCGATGGACTACTGGCTGATCGCGGCCCGGGAGGGCAACGCCATTGCCCAGCGAGAACTGGCGAGTTTATACCTCACACACCCAGAAGTACCACCTATTGTCAGTCTGCCTCTGGCACTGTCTTCGGAAATCTTCAAGAGTGAGATGATGTGGGAAGAGCACGAGGGGTCACGCCGTTGCAGGCAGTCGCTTTGCCTCGCGCTACATTGGATGCAGCAAGCAGCACAAAACGGGGATACAGTGGCGCAGACCAAGTTGAAGGAGCGCCGAGCGAACCGGTCCCTGCAGTAATGGCTCTGGATTTTCTTTTTCGTTTTCCTTTCCCCAGTTCGGGTTACAACTGTGAGCGAGGAAGAACGGGGCGACTTCCGAACTTGCGTTTTCTGGCGGCGAAACGGAAAGGGAGGGCTATGGCCAGGAACATTTTGCCTGCATATTTGATACCGTTCTGTTTGTGCATGGGAGGCAATGTGAGTGATACACGTGTACTTTGTAACGGAGGCAGATTGCTTTTTATTGATGAAAGAAAGCCGACATATGCATCACTACCGAGTGAACTCGTGGGAGGAGGGAATCGGAGGAGGGCGACCACTTGCGTCGACACTCTGTCCAAAGCATCAGAAGCTTGCCATGTGTGAGGCCCTGAGTTGTTCGGTAAAGAATTTGGGGGATAGTCTATGTACGTTTCTAGCAAGGATCTGAGAGTGTCTAGTCGTATCCAGGGCCAACAGATCAGGTGCTACTGCATGTCTCGTGAACAAATCATTCAGTGGATCCAGACTCAGGCACATGTCCCATTGACCAGAGCCGAGGGTAGCACAGCCTAGGCGGCTGGAAACTTTGCAAGCATGCATGCAAGGGGAGGGATGGCAATGCATGAGGTACAAATGACCATATGCATATGGTGGTGTAATATTGACCGATCGGGCACAATCAGGAGGGTCGGTCAATGGAAAGAGAGCCTAGGAACTGCTGGTTGTCAGCACGCGTCTCCCAACCAGCCACCGGCCACTGGGACTGAGGATCAGGAGGGCGAGATAGGAGAGATAGCATGGAAAGGGGCGAGAGACGACCAAACAAATAATGACGGTAAAGTGATGCTGACCATGATGAGAATGAGTAACTGGCCAGGTGGTTGCCGGGGATGCTGGTGACGGGCAAGAGGCGCAGGCAGATGCCAGACCCAGACCCAGAAAGAGAGCACCCAAGATACGAGTAGTAATGCGATCCAATGACGTCGACTGGCCCACGAAGGACCCAAAAGACCAAAAATAAAGAACGGGTCACCGGCTGTGCTGAAACACCCTGACAGGGCCAGGTCCGCCGCCTGCCATAGCAAAGATGCAGTCTGACAGGCTGCTGACCTGCTTGCCTGACAGCGCCCGACGGTTGTCACTTGTCATTTGCCGGACAGGCAAGGCAGGCGAGTAACGTGACCAGCCTTCCTTTCTACCTGCTCTTAACCTCTTCTTCCTCTCCCAAGCACATGCCGCTGCGCCTATGACAACATAAAGCACGATCCAAGCACTCTTTCCCCTTCACCCTCTACCCTCCAGTCTGGTGTTCATACAACGCCCATCTGTCACTGTCCACCGTCCGTTCGGATACCTCCTCCCGCACCGACGTACATCCCCACTTACTCTCCCGTGTACCCACCAACACCACCATCAATCACAACTGCGACCACGACATCACTGGTCTCCATATCTTCTGTGGTCCTTCGGTCCTCTTCTGTTTATACAAGACGCAGGCTTCTCGTCGCTAGCCTGGGTGTCCGTGCGTCGACTCGCGCTTTACTTTCAAGCTCCCCAGCCTGTTATCCTCCTGTGTCATCCTCCGCTTCTCCGGCCACAAACACATCCGACCTCTATCGCTTGCAGACCTATCCTCCATCGTAACTACTACTCTGATATCTTCTTCACACCATCAGAATGCCTGTCGAGGTCCATCATTCTCCTCCGCCCTTGCATCAACCGGGCTCGGGGAATATCCGACCCAAAGGTAAGTCGTGCTAGATTTGTCCAATATCTAGACGACATTCTTCTAACGGCGCTCTTTCTCAGGGATCTTGAAAAACCCCTCCTTTTCCTCCGGTAGTGGTAGACCAGGTTCGCCTCCCAAAGAGGAATTCCACTTTCCGCCCACTACTCCGCTCGACCCCCATGAAGAGAGAGAATTGGTCCTTCAAAACACCCTGCAGAATGCCGGCCACCGTCGGTCTTCATCCGCTGCTCGAAGAACCTCTGTTTCTCGCCGTCATTCGTCCGCAAATACTGCTCAAGGGGAGGATGAACAAGAGAAAATACGTCTGAAGTGGGACGAAGCCAACTTGTATCTCGCAGAACAACAGTCGGGCAACCGGATGAAAATCACGGAGCCCAAGACTCCTTATCAATATGGCGGAGCAATGGAGGAGGACGATACAGAGGAAGACGTGGCTATCGATCCCCGCTTTGTCAACGTGGATGAAGTCGATCTTGCCCTGGGCAAACACAAAAAACAGCGAGAAAGCGACATCCCAGGGCTGGAACTGGGCGACCCAGAAGAAGAATTCAGTCCTACCGCCATGACGGAGGATGACAGAATTGTGAGAGAGCACAGTCTTTCTCTCTCCAGGGAGGGCAGCAGAGAAAAACATGTTAGTGTCAGTGAGGGCAGTGATGGTGATGTGGTCAACGAGCAAGTGGGCATGCCGACCAGAGAAGAACAAGAGAAGCATCGTGCGTTTGAGGAGCGACGGAAGAAGCACTATGAGATGCGGGAGATCAAGAGTTTACTTGGGTATGTTTATCCCGTCCCTTTGAATCGCTGGTAGGCGACGCCCTGAACTATATCGAATACTGACAGTTGCGGCGCGATAGGCATCCCGAGGAAATGGATGTGGAAGACGAAGACGGCCCCGTTGCAGCTGCAATACCTCGAGATTTGCCCCAGAGGTCAGTCAACGGAACAAACTAGACCACCCTTGCTTGCACGCCTGCCGATGAGTCTTGCTGGACCAGCTGGACAAATAGTGACCGTGCAACCACGTCAAGCAAAGCAAAGACCCGTTCTAGGAGTTTCCTCGGACGGGGGGTCGGCTGGGTAGCAGGCCTTTGACACCAGTTGGCATATGATCTCCGAAGTAGCACGCGTTACGGTGACTCGAGAAGTCTCGTTTTCCTTTATTCGACCTCCAGCCAATCGATTAATCAAAATGCATCGACCCCAGATTTGTTCACACGACATGGTTTGAACGCATTACCGATACCGCAGCAATGCGACTCAAATTCGCCCCTAGCTTTTGTTATGATCTTACAGAGACCCCGGCGTTGAGCAACATTATCCGATGACGATGAGTTTTCTCATGTTTTCCTCACAAATCCCGATCAGTGAAGGTTGGTGGATGAAGATGTTTGAGCTGAGCAGACAGGCATCCATCACAGCTGTTTGAGCTGCATTTGCATCGACAGATGGACCTCTCTCAGGAGGTGGTTTGCGATGCATGGGAGGGACCGACAAATTCCACACGAGTGGCATGGCCTTAGGCAGTGCAATATATGGCGCAGCCTCATACGGCGAAGCGGTGCAGGATCATTCTTTCGAGTAGTTGATGACAGTCAGGTAGCCGGAAAGTCAAGAGGCCAGGCAAGTAGCGACATTACTCGCCATTGCTACCGACCCTCGGCTTGGAAAATCAAAGGAAAGGAAATGAAGTGAAATGAACGAAGAGACATATCAAGCACCCATCCATTCGGGGGTTTTCTGTTCCTTTGCTACTACTATTGGCGATACCAATTAGTGCCTGAGCTTTGGCTGTCTTGTGTTCCTGCGTCTCCATCTTGATCTACATCTGTGTGTGTGTGTGTGTGTGTGTGTGTGTGTGTGTGTGTGTGAGTGTGTGTGGTTATTGTTATCGATATCGCCTCGACGGGACGGGGACAAGGACTTGGATATCCCACTATATTATTATAAAAAAGCAACTATCGAGTATTGTCGTCTATATTATCATTATCATTATCATCATCATCTATCATCTGTCATGCTTTATCTTTTTGAATGCTGCTAAACTGTTTCCTGCCCGCCCCTTCTACCACTACTTATTGTGTGACGGCTATATACAACAAGTGGGTAATTCAGAACCCACGAGTGAATCAGTTTCTTCGTCCTTTTGGCGGCTGTCGTGTCGTGGTGGAACAGTTTAGGTCAACCGTGACAGTACGACTCATTGCTTGTACTTGAAAGAATTCATAATATCATCCTACTGAGCGAAGCCAAGTGAAGTGAAGTAGTATATACTGTATTTTATACTGCATTTTATATTAGATTAGATTATACCTTGCTACTACATAGAGGTATAGCAGATAGATAGTAGATAGATAGTATGCTGTCCCTACCTATCCGTCTTCGGCAAAGGGATTCAGCTCGGATTTGTGGTTTGTTGTTTGTTTTTCTTCTCTCTTCTCACCGCCTACCTGATCTGATGTAATGTGATGTGTAGGCTGTAGATCGATCACAATTCGAGATATCAAAGTGGATGGAATGGGATGGGATGGGATGTAATCCAATATCAATCAAGGGGAAGTAAGTCTTCATCTTCAACATCACTCGAGCTTGGATCGATCAATCCGATTGATGATGGGCAACAGACGCCAGCTAGCTGGGAGTGTTCTTGTTGTTGGGTTACTTCATGTCATCGATTCGATTCACTACATATTGAATTGACACTCGGTGGTTCATGCCCCGTCCTAACTACAATCCACGGGCATGGCCAGTCGGACCAGATCAAGAACCACCCATCCACAATTTGCCCAGAATCAGCGTCTGCACGATATCCTCGTTGCACATGACCTTGACCGCGGGAGTGGGAGTGGGAGTGGGAGTGAATGTTGGCATGGCTTGGGGTTCGTCGTTGTCGGGCTGCCCGTGCTCGCTATCATTTTTCCTTGATTTGGCCTTCTTCCGACTCTTGCCCTTGCCCTTGCCCTTGTCCTTGTGGTTCGCCTTGATGCCAGACGGTGACGGCGACGGCGATGGCGACAGCGGTGTCGGTGTCGGTGTCGATGTTGAAGAAAATGCAGAGACCATCGTTCTGGCCGCACTGGCGTCTCGATCGTCTACAAAAACCCATTTGATTGGGTCATCGCAGTCACCATCACCATTTTCTTCCACTTCCGCTCCCGCCGAACCCCTCCAATCCTCAAGCCTGATCTTTGCAGAGGCCACATCCGGTTCCAAGTCGATCTTCCCCGTGCCCAAGGCTCGGATTAAGAAGAGATACGGCCTCCTTCGGGCCTCAGCCTTGCCCTTGCCGATGACCATAATGACCCGTGATCCGCCTAAGATATCGAGTCTGGAGGCTATCATGTCCTTGACTTTGACCGTCATATTGGCGCTGTGCTCTGCATTCCGGGTATTTTGGATGGCTGTGGAGGCAGCAGTTAGGAGTCGTGATCTCGTCGCTCCGTCTAGTTCGGCGCTTTCACCGGCGGGTAATAAATAAGTCATCCAATCAACCAGGCAGTTTGACTGGATGCATGCTTCGACCCATTTACCGCTCAAACATGGGAGTCCGAGAGCCAGGGCTTGCATGTACTTCTCTTTGCGCGAGTGGCGTTCTGTCAGGAGGGCCGTGAAGGACAATTCGGCGAAATGTGGCTTCAGCTGTAACCCTGTCGAGTCTGGTTCGAGGAGATCCAGAAACGACTCTCTTAGAACAGTACCGCCGTGGGCCTCGATGAGTTCGACGAGTGTTGCTTTCCGCGACCGGTCCTCATAAGAGATTGCGAATGCCATGTTTGCAAACACTCCTTCGCTCAGCGGTGCAACTGGTAAACTGGCCGATGGTATTGATGGTATCATGTTGGCCACGTTCCGTCGGTTTCGTGAAGGGGGGCTGCTTGGTGTCGAAGGTCGTTCTAGGGGTGTCGAGATGCCCGGGGAAGAGAGGAGGTCTGCTGCTTTGTATTTATACACTCGATCGCGCATCTGTCCCCACATGTTGCTGTCCAAGTAAATCGCGGACACAGGTACCTCTTTGGCAATGTCAGTCGACAATCTCGTGGGTAGACTTTTGCGCTGCTTCGGTGCCACAAGGAGTGTCTTGTGCCCTTGTCTATCTGTGATGACATCAAGACGAGACTTCCCATTGTCCTTGGTAACTCGATCTTTGAACCCTCGTATCACATACGAGACTTTGGGAAAGCCTTCCATGTTGACTTTAACAAGATCTCCAACACGTAGATCTAGACTCCGAATGCCATACTCGTCAATCTCATCAGGGTCGTATCCTTCCCATTGGATCAGATACCGAGTATTGTGGGCATTAGAAGGACCAAGACACAGAGCAGGATAGTATGCGCGGGTTTTGCCATTGAAACATGCAAATACCATGTTCGGAGCAACAATTGTGTCGGGCACGGGAGGAATCGCTACCTTCGCCGTATTGGAGACCTGGCCCTCGCCCGAGGCCGCGAGTTCTGGAACCTCGTGGGAGTCTTCAGCCGCCTGTCTCCCGCGACTTACTTCTTCATTGGTCTTGGAGACGGAAACGCTCCCGGATGTCTTGAGGCGCTTGGTAAGTGCATGTTTGTCCTTGTTCTGGGGCCGTTCGAGGTCTTTGGCCTTTCGTTTCAGACCGGATGATTTGATCACTGGCACGGACTTCTGAGGAGGGGACGCGTCCAGGTCCCATGGCGAACGTCTGGGCGTAGAATGAGGCGCATGGGCGCGAGATTCTGAAGTAGCGATGAGTCTGGGGGAAGAGTTCTTCTCCTGTCTTGGGTACGTTGATGAGGATAGCCCAGATGTAACCTGACAATCTGGAGCAGTATTCTTTAACTCAAGGGCGCGGGGACCTGTAGAGCGCTGACCACGTGCGTGCAGTGCAGACTCGGTAGGATCCAGACCATGTGGCTCCTCAGCATTCTGACTCCTCTCTGGAGGATGGGATTGTGCTGGAGCGGGCCTTGGTTCCTCTACACTCATCGGGTGAGATGTTGCAAACTTTCGCAAGGGGCTTTGAAAGTTCGGATCAAGCTTGAGAGCATCATTGACACTAAAGCTCACCTGAGACTTCGGAGGCGAGGGTGCAGCTGCAATCTCAGCCATGAGTTTCCGTCGGCGGCCTGGAGGGGTAGTAGCAATTGGAGGACTGCTCATGTCGACCGGGCCTGGGTTTGAAGATGATGGCGGCAGCCGAGATTGGGCAGTCTCATATTGGCCACGACTGTCAAAACTTTGCTGCTTTTCCCCCGGTCTTGTCGAGCCTTTGCTATTTTGACATTGCTCGTCAGAACTGGTTTCCGGTATTGTGCTGCCTGGATGTAGATGCGATGAAGACCCAGGAAGGGCATGATCAGTGGCTGCGCCTGCCGCCTTCTCGTCGCTCCGGTCAAAGGCACTGTCCTCGGCAGCAAGCTCCATTACCGGGACTCTAGCGGGCTGTAGAGAAGCGGTCGGAGATTGTGGAACAAGATCAACGTCTGCCTCAATGTCGATGGATTTCAATGTTGGATGATTTCCTCGGCGCAGCCTCAGGGGTTGTGATGGTTGGGAATCGGACACAAGGAAAGGCTCTGAGCTGTAAGGTAGTGCTGATCCCTCTGTACCAGTTACTGCTCGTCCGCGCCTAAGGGAAGGGCTATCCTGGACTTGAGAAGGGAATTCTGTCGTGACGCGGATGAGTCGTGCAGTAGTTTCAGGAATTTGGCTTCCGCTGTCAGAGTAGTTCTCCTTGTCCTCATCTTCAGACATGCCGTGCCCTTGACTCGACCGCGTAACAGCAACCTCATCGTTATCCTCTTGCTCCGTTTCCACCTCGCTTTCGTTGCCGGGATTTCCATGGACTGGGCGGGTCGTGCTTGAGTCGCCGTGAATTTCTACATGCCGTGCCGTGTGAGTACTTTGAGGTGAGCCACGAGTTGGAGACCGAATTGGGGACGATTTAGATTGCGATATCCCTCGCCCAGATCCTTTGGGAGGGGACGACAGCCTCTGGAAAGTCGCTCGCCTCCGCTGCTCGATCTGCCGTTGTCTCCGATCCCTAGCCACAGAGCTGGGTTCATCGTCAAACCCGTCATCGGAGTCATCTTCTTCGTCTGCAATTCTCTCCTGTTGCTTCATGAAGGCCATGCGTTCCCGCTCAGCTTGCGACTGTTTTGAAGAAATATAGCGTGCCGCTGGTTCCGTAGATGCTCTTTGAAATAAAGCGACGATAGGCCGCATAGGGGAGGAGTTCGTAGCAGTCACAGGACGTGGTTGCTGTTGTATGTTTGGAGACGGGCGGTCAGACCGTAAATCTCCATGTGTGTCTCCGACAAAAGGTGAAGTGTTTGCTTGTGTTGCCGCAAAAGCCTGGCTCAGCCCCATCACCCGTGCATCATCATCAGCACCACCTCGCAGCAGCGGATTCCGAGGTAGTGCAGGACTGTCAACCGTGTCTCCATTGTGCCTCCTCTTTTTCCCAGCAGTAGCCGGAGTCTTAAAGCGTTGTGATTCAGGAAACTGAGAGAGCGCACGTTGGGTCTGGGTAGGTGAAAAGTCGACAGGATCTGAATCGATCTCTTTGGCCTCTTCTAGCTGCAACAACATACTAGACGCAATGTCGATATAGCCTTCGTCGCCTTCATGTAGTGTGAGCTGTGTCTCGACCCCTTCTTCCTGATCCCCATCCTGCACTTGGTCTTGCTGCTGTTTTGCACTTCGACTTCGGCTGTTCAGAATACACTGAATATGTGAAGGAGACAATACCTGTGTTGCTGTATCACTGCCCTGACTGGCCATCTTCTGTGCAATAGAGATGGCCTTGCTTAGCGCATGAGCAGGCGGAAGGGGATCAAGTTGACTTTCAAGGTCGGCATCAGATGGTTGTTGCAATTGCGAATCGGGAACAGTGCTCGCAAGTTCAGGGACACTGTTCGGCAACGTTGTGACGGTCGTCACTCGTGTGGCAGGTTCTATGGGTGGTAACTTTGCATATGCGGCCTTGATTGCATCCAGCTGCCGTTGTCTGATCAGCTGGCTGTCTTCTGAATCCGACTGTTTTGTGCATTGCGCAATTAGCGTCCGTCACGGTCAGGGGTCAGGCCAACCAGGGTACGGAGGAATCCCACCTGGAGTGATTGGAGAACTTGACATTTCAGGCCTGAAATGTCAAGACTTTCGCTCTCAGTCTCCATGAATGTACATGAATCCATGAGGCGGCGGCTATCTAGCAAAGAAATTCGAATTCACGAAACTTGTATCAGCGTCCATTGCGCGAGCCACTTTACGCGAGCCCAGGTCGCGTTGGAATCTGCGGGGACGCTTGCTACCAGTACTCCCACTAGACTGAATTAGGCTAGAGTTAATTCACTAGTAGCATATTGACAAGTGGCAGTATTCATCACATACTAGAGGTACTATACTACATGTACTATGTAGTAGCGCATCAGAATCTACCTTCTGACCAGAGAAAGCCAGATATAGAGCCTGTGGTCCGACGTCGCCTCTGTAAAGGACTCGGAACGTGGGACAGACATGAAAGGCGTTTGCTGCTAATAGCAGAGAAGTATCAGCACATTCTCGCAATTGAACTCGTTAGAGCTGCCAAAGATGAAAAGATAAACGAAGGCGAGCTGTCCTATTCCCGACACACCATGCTCTGCAGATATTGACACATGTACATGTAACAACCCAGGAGTCCTTGCGCTGAGCAGATACGCCAACCCCATCCTAATGATCATAACAAGCGTGGAACTCATTAAACACGATCAATCTCGACTTCTGTTTGGTGTCCAACGCCGTACATTGATGTCTCGAATTTTGTAACGTGAAAGAAGGTGTCCGATGTCAATATCCTTACTTTTCTCTTCGCTCTTCACAGGAGGCGGGATATCGACATAGCACAGAACCAACTGTTTGTGCACTTGTGCCTGAACGCGATTTATTCCATGCAACCACCACCAAGTCTTCTTGGTTTTGTTTCCAATCATCTTTTTCAGCTCGGCCGATTCGGTCCAGGAAGGATGAGTGTACGATGGGACAATAACGACAGCAAATTCAGCGTGGGAGAAGGCCGGGCCTCGGTTGTACAGTAAGTAATCAGTCGAAAATTTGACGCCTGACCGCACGACCCAGCCGAGCGAGCGATAGTGATGGTATGCAACATAGGACAGCACGAAGGGGTCGTCGGGTTCGGCAGGGACGGACAGAGACCGAGGTGGATGATATGCATGTCGTCGGAAGAGGGATAAGAGAGAAGAGGGAGGCAGGATTGCATCGCTGTCATCACAATATATCTGAAGCACTCCTAGACCGTAGGAGAGAAAGAATGCTTCCTCCAGAGACAAGGTGAGGTGTTCCTGATTTTCTTGGGTTTCTTGCTTTGGTGTTTCCTCCAAGTTCTCGTCCTCAAGCGTGGATGCCCCCGGACTTTTGATTGGTGAGATAACAGGAGAGCTAAGATCGAACTCCCTTGCCTCGATTGTGGGCGAAAATCTTACGGTTTTGGTACGCTGCAGTTGTCTGGCTGGCCGTCCACCAGCCTGACTAGCTTCAGATGAGGTTGACGTGGGCGGAGGGGTGGGAAGTCCGTTCGCCTCAAGCGCCTGCTTCCACTTGTTGAATTCGAGGATCGAGCCATTCCCCTTATCTTCCTCAACCTCGGGGGTGATCGTATCACTGGCCGATTCCAAGACACTGGCAATGTCGTTGAAATCTCCCGCGTTGGTCTTGAGGATATTCTTGGAGAGAACGCCGTTCATATGGGCACTGACTTGAGTTTCCTCGGCCAGCCTCCGGTCTATTTCTTCCTGTTCCTTGCGCGCTCGTTCTTGCTTGAGTTGCCTTCTCTCCTGTCGGCGCAGATTTGTGTTTTCTTCTGCTGTAACTCCTTTCTTTCGCCGATTCTCTAGCCAGGTTGGCTCACTTCTGCTTAGGCTACCTTTCCCGAAGAAGCCCATCTCCCATAGTTTCCGTATTGCCTCCGTATCGGTGACGTGGATCGACGACGTAGCTGATGAGAAGTAGCCATTGTATGTTGGACGGGCTGGCGGAGAGAGTATTTGAACGAGATAGGATAGAGCGATAGCCACTAATGACAGGGGATTGTGGGGAATGAGGACAGGAAGGGGATGAACTTCGACGGGCAGAAGGTTTCGATGTATGTAGTTGTAATTCGGCCGACGCGGACGCTTTGGAGGTTTAGAGGAGCTCAGCCTTGTCGACGCAGCCGCACCTGGCGTTGACGTCGTCGCGGGAGCGGGGGCAACAGACATTATGAGTACATTGCATGGACCGTACTATGAGACTTGGGTCAGCCAGGTGATGGTTTGAGGATTTCTGCGGAAAAAGTAACAGGCAATAATCAATCCATCAGATACCGTTGTAGTCTAATACAAAGGCCCACACAGGAGGAAGCTGAAATCAAAGTGCTACCTCCTAGGCAAACGTAAATGGTCATCATCGGAAAGAAGGGAAGACGTGGTATGATTCAGCAGATTGGGCATACTTACGTCGCATCCGAGATGCTGGAGGTCGAAAGGAGTCGTGTGTAAGGCCGCACGGCCGGAGTTCGGGGCCAATGGATTACCTCACATTGCACAGCGCCATCGAGCAGAACGGTAGGATAACAGGCGACTTCCGGCAGCCAGAAGAAGGCGAATCGAGTGTGTTGGTGCTGATGGTGACGGTGATGGACAGGTCGAGAAAAAAGCACCGAACTCTCCCACGGACGTTGTTGGGCTACGCTTTTTGGCCTGGCGCGGGGAAATTTTTCGGGCTGCAATTCTCGTTGCGGTTTGCCGAGTGTGTCTTCTCCAACCACATCTCTGCAATTTCATTCCTGTCCACGACCACGAGAACAATCCGCGACAAACAGTGTCGAGAACCACCCTTGCGAAGCAGGTGCAGACCATAGCAGCGAGCGAGCAGACGAATCCGAATCCGAATCCGTGGATCAGCGCACCCGGCCCTACAACAACATGCATTTGATGTACACGGAAGACCCGGCCACGGGCAATAGGATTTACACGCTGAAAAAAGTCCTCGATGGCGTGGTCACCAAGTCCGCGCACCCTGCTCGATTTTCGCCGGACGACAAGTATTCGAGGTGAGATTGCATAGCCTTCGGTCTGAGGGATCTATCTAACGTATTTATAGGCATCGAGTCACCTTGAAAAAGCGATACGGACTTCTCCTTACGCAACAAAGTAGGCGACACGCTGCAAAATCTTCCCGAATGTATGAGCTAATGTGTCCTAGAAAATGAAGCCAAAAACTGAACAAGGGGACTTCACAAGGGGAACAAGGCGGACAAGGCGGCGTGTCGGCGTTCTGTAGAAGCCAGGGGAAGGATACCCAGAAAATAATGTGCTTCAAAGACAGGCTAACTGATCTATTGGAAAAAGAATGTCCTTAACTATCGCTTTCGAGAATTAATGTTCCGGCCAGCTCCAACTCGTGGCCTTCCCGATGTCTGGCCTCTATTTCCCGTGAGGATGTTCGGAAGCGTGTCCTCGTCCATAAGATCTTTTTCTTTCGTTCTCTTCATCGTGGACATGGCCCTCACATACTCTTTCTGATCTTCGGCCAGAATCAAATCACTGCCCCAACCACCTTGTCCGCCACCCTGTCTCGGCCCTTTCCACTTTTGATTGGAACTTCCCCCGACAGGTTTGGGCATCGAAAACACATTCCCTTTGTTGTTCCACTGCATGTTCGCTTTTAGGTGCAGCTTGATCTCACCCTTATCATTCGTGGTGCAGCTGACTCGAGTCAAGGTTGGCTGGCCGCAGCGAGGGCAGAATTGTTTGGCCATGTCCTTGGTCGTGCAGAAGCAGCCGTGGCATCTCAGCACAAATTGTTTGACTTGTGAGATTCTCTGACAAGTCTTGCTAGACAATAGATTCAAGTTCATTTGGAGCAAGACGTTCTGCATTGCAAAATCGCCGGTCATTGTGGCGACTTGTAGATGCTTCGTTTCAGCAGGTGATTTCGTGCTCGCCACTTCGTCTTTGGCTTGCTGCTTCTTGATGTTCGACGGGGTAATCCACCCTCCTTCATCATCGTCGTCAGATACTTCTATGACCTCTGGGACTTGATCAGTCGAGTTCTCCCACGTTGACAATGGTTTGCCGGTAGGCTCGTCTCTCTTGGCGTCTGATTCGATAGGCTGCTCAATCTGTGTCTCGTCTTTTTGCACTTCTGGATCTTCGAGAGTAATACGGTCAATCCTGTGCTCAACTGTATGTTCAACGTCTCTGCTCTCATTACCATCATTGGCAGTCACAGATTGCGCGCCTGTTTCTTCTTGTGCCTGAGGCTCTTCGGCGGTTCTCTGAGGCGGGCTACCATTGAGACGCTTCTGCCCCGGAACCGCTCGTAACCTCCAATCCCCGCCGTTGCGTTCACACTCCAGATCGTACGCTAATGCCAGAACCTCAAAATCAGTCTGACTGAGGACGGCAGCGTCTCCCGTTTTACGTGCGAATTCTTTGACTCGTTTCACACTTTCCGGCTTCGGTGACCGAATGATCAGAAATGGCTTGTATAGAGTCTCGATTCGTGCTCGCGCTTCCTCGCCACGTATCTCGGCGACCACTGATGGCGTCGTAACGAGAACGTGTCCGTTTGCAAGGAGTGTGGATATGCCGGGGGTGTTGAGTAGGAGGGGCGAGGAGTCGAGGATGATAGTGTGCACCGCTTTACTCTCGGAATCAAGAGTCTTCGGGTCAAGGGAATCCGCCATATTGAACAATCGTGACTGCAAGGCAACGTCGTGGATTGTGACTACAAAATCGATCTGAAGGCGAACGCAGGACGAAGACTAACGCAGGACGAAGACTTGGTTGCGGGAAAAATTGCTGGAGAATCTTATCTTATCTCTTATCGTCGTCATTTCCACTAACCACCTAATTATTCAACCTTAGAAGCTCTGAGGGCCTTAAGGAACCCCTTCTGTGACTTATATGGGCGCCAGTACTTCCTGACTTTCAGGCTTACAACTCTCCGTGACGAATATATGCGGTGTTTCTCAAGGAGAACTCAGGCTGTCTTCGCAGGTTCTGCTCAACGCGAAGCATAAGGCTGCTCTTTCTGATGATCTACCCAAGTAAGGCCTACTAGCTGGAGAAATGCACTCTCAGCGTTCAAACGACAGCCCAACGTCTAGTATGACTGCTATCAGCGATGAACCGTGTCCATTCATCTAACCATGCCAGAGCCCATCCTGGGCATGCTCTGCCTGCGAAACTCCACTTGACTTTGTCTTCGAGAGTTCAGCGAGCGCGAGGCATTTGTACTAGTCCGCGACATTCTCCGGGAATCAGAGGTGCCAGAGACGGATGGGAGATAGGATATACGTCGATTCTGGTTGTCGGCGCGAGCATTTGCCAGAGACTGGGCGAACGGCGAACGCTGGCGAAGAGCTGGCCCATACCAGTAAATGACGTAAACAGCGACCACGAGGATGGTGGCAATGCAGGCGAGAATGGTCACGGCGTAGTTGAGATGATAGCGACCACCGATGTCTGCATATGCAGTCAGTCCGTCTGAAATCATATAGGGACGGGATAGAAACTTACTCTCCATGAACGGTGTGGCAGGAATCGTGAGGACACCAGCCAGGAAATCTCTGGACCAGCCATTACCTCCTGTAGCAGAGGCAGAGTACGGACCGTAGGCGCAGATCATGTAGTCGATAGTTGCCATGTAGATTGCATAATTTGCAATGCCGACAAGGCTCGCAAACACCATCGAGCCGATCCAGTGGATCGGTGGCCCTTGAATAGTCCAGGCAAACCCGAATAGGCCAATGGGAAGGGCCGGGGCGGTCCAGAGCAGCCACCACAATCGTGATTCATATTGAGCCTTCTCATCGCCCGGCTTGGACCTTCTCTCGTGGATATTCCGCCTAATTGCAGGGATGAATGAAAGCCAGGCCAGGCCGTAGCCGATACCCAGTGGGATAAAGGCCAGCCCGACTGCAAACGTGGCAAAGTTCCATTGCGCGTACACCAAAGAGAATGACTGGATAAACATGAAGATGAGGGCATCACTGAACCCGCTGAGAAGTGAGAGCGTCAGGACGATTGGCTCCGTGAGAAACATCTTGAAGGGTCTGATCCATGTTATGAGGATTTCTTTGACAGAGAAGCGGTCGCGGAATGGCTCGAGCTCGTTGGGGCCCCAGATATTCTCACCAGTAGCCTTGCGTCTCTTCTTTGCTATTCTGTCCATGAGAATGGTGGAACGAGTCTCTGGGACGAGGAAGAAATGGCATATTTGTACAAATCCGCCGAAGATGAGTTGGATCCAGATGGTCCATCTCCAGGCGAGATACTGTTCCACGAAGCCACCGACGATCGGGCCTAGGACCGAGCCGAAGACGGACGAGAACACAACATAGGCAACGGCGTATTGTTGTCCATCTGATTCCCACATGTCCGCTAGCAGAGTGTTAATGTCTGTACGCATGGGTTGGCGAGTCCCACTCACCGATCATTCCTAGCGTGACGGAGCCTCCAGCAGAACTCAGCCCACCAAGAGCTCTTCCGACCATGAGAGATGCAAAATTGGGTGCTAAAGCCACGGGGAGCTGCCAAATGTTGACCAGGGTCAAGGAAGCCTGTAGAATCGGCCATCGGCCAATTTCCTCGCTCCAGGGAGCCCAGAGCTCACAGCCAAATGCATATAGAACCAGAAAGATCATAGCGCCACACCGAGCAGCTTGAGCACTGACATTATATTCTTTAGAGATGCCACCCAGGCCGTTCGAATATAAACTGGTGTTGAAGTTCATGGAGAGTTGGACGAGGAAGATGACGGTAAGGATGGTCCATTTTTTCCATGAGGGAAACGAGAAGCCTAGCTCACTGTAGCAGTCTTCCTCGGTGATTTCAATCTTGTCAAAAGTTTCCGGCTCAGGCTCAGAGTCGTGTTCAACTTTCGCTTCTGGCGCGGCTCGACCGACGGGCTCTGTCATCTGGGTGGCATCGTGTTCTAGATTCGTGGTAGAAGAAGCCTTCTCCCAATCACCATTGTCGTCTCTGGATCCGTTCGAGGGTTCGGGGTCCGAGGGAGTGTTGAAGTTGGGAGTGTTCAAAGTGGGTTGTCGGTCGGCAGGAGCCATATTTGAGACTCTAAGATTGATGTACACGTATGCGTAGGCTCTGGCCACATATGGAAACGTTTGAACACAGGGGAAGTATAGGGATGAGAAAGGGGAATACAACCTCTTGCGCAGAAACCAATATACGTTCACTTGCGGTATGCCTGAATAATAAACAGCGGCGAAAGTCAGCACGGCCGTCATGCAGGATGTGCTATGATATCAACATCTCCATCGCGGCTGTGGTGGTGGAGTCGGGCGTTGCAATGGGTATCCCGACCCCAGTAAAAGTCGCTCTGTGGCTGCACGATGACGATGGGGGGCCGAACCGGCCTTCGGCCTTCTCTTTCCAGAGTAGGTCAGCGCGGCCTCGAAGTAGCGAAGGATACCAGGCCCTTTGCATGGATTTCATCTCTGGGCCATCGGGCGGAAGCTATGAGCAACGCCCGGAAGGTTGTACGTGTAGGAGGAGAAGGGGGGCATAAGAGGAGCTCGCGGCGGTGCCAGCACGTCTGGGCGTGTGTCCGTGTGTCCAACTCGACCTTTGTTCCGCTCAATAATTGACATATTGGCGTGCGTGATGAACTGGTACTCAGCAGACATCTGCCTGTGTACGGAGTACATACGGATACATGCCTACCTTGGCTACCTTAGGTACCTATTGAGGTCCCCCGGTGGTCCGGCGGCAAACAACAGTAAATCATGACGTAAGGCGGTTGTACTGTAGCTGGTAGCGTGAGAAATTTCTGGGACGGTTCTCGATCAGGGTATCGCGCGACGGGTAGTAGTGGAAACGCCCCAAAGCACGGATGAGGACTATCCCGTAGCACACATATGCTGTAAATAGTAAATACCGTAGGGTACTAACTTCAGGTATGCAATCGATAATCAGGCCCCAGCTCATTCAGCTAGTGGCCTGCAACGCCAGAAGCCGAAGTATGTTAACTATGTTCTCAGGTCAAGCAACAAGGGTGTGAGTGTGCTAGAAACACTGCAAAGACGATATCCGTACATGATTTGGCATCCCTTCACACTGCGACTGCAGTATCCGTTGTGATCTGCACTGCTATTCGGAACAAGCTTTAGCCACCAACCAGCAGCACCGACAGTTGCCTCTGATCTTTGCTTGTTCCGACCACATGCAGGGATTCCTCTGGAGGTGCCCGGCCTCAGGTGTTTACTCCTTAACGCCACGCTAATTCACTCGGGGAGAGCCTGCTCCTATAAGAATATTGGCAGGACTCTTGAGCCAGACCTGGACCGAAGTCTCCGAGGAGGACCAGGCCGTGTTCTCGGTGGCCCACCAGTAGATGGCTCCGTCGGCGTTGTTGTGTTTGCACTCTCCTGCTCAGCATCGTCTTGAAAGACCTGTAAGATGTTGATTGCCCAGTAAGCTTCGGCGAAGTCTCTAGGATTGTTGGCCACGTAATCCTCGCAAGTCGGCGCTAGGGTTGCACAAGTCGAAGTATTCCACACAGCACCAGCCCACTAGGAAACAATCAGTAAGGGGTAGGCTATGACAAAAGGGCTCTAGCCAACTAACCTGGCCGCAGAACGTGGTGTCGAACACGATCTGCAGATTCTTGAAGTGATCGTCGATGTTGAATGGGCCTTGAAAGATGGAGTTTGGAGTGCCCCAGCTTTCACTGGGAGCTGGGGTACTGCTCACGATATCGTCGGGGAAGGAGCCTCGCGCGAAGAACCAAATCTTGATGAAGTCGGACGTCCATTCGGTCGCAAAGACACCGCCCCCAGCAGCGTTGAATTCGTTTCCAAAGGTCAGATTCGAAATGTCTCCAATTGAACACCCTGCATTCATCGGCTGCTCTGGAGCGTTGACATCACAATTCGAAGTGACCAGCTCGCCCAAAAAATCTGTCCCGTTACTAACCACGGCGCCTTCTCCAGTATGCAGAGTCATGCTGTTTGTGGCTTGATCGTTCACGCCCTCGACGATATCTATCTCTCCATTACTCGGCCAGTCAGTTCCGAGCATCCAAAAGGCTGGCCAAGTGCCGCAGACTCCTCCTGGCATATGCACAATGTCGGCAATGACTAATGCATGTTGAAATGATTGTGTGGATGAGACTCGAATACTCGCCCGTCCTTGGGGAGCCACCTCTTCTGTATCCACCCCCATGTATATCGCAAAGGACGAATTCCCCCCTTCAATAAAACCCGCCAGCCCAGTGGAGTTGGCCTCTTCCAGGGATTTGAATTGTACTAGGCCATCCGTCGGGTCGGTGTCCGTAAAAAAGTCGAAGCCTTGCCAGAAGGCGTCCCCGGAATAGTCCTGAACCAGCTGATACGCAGCGAACGTGAATGGAAAGAAAATGCTGACCAGCAACAAGAAGAGCTTGTGAGAACGCATTCTTGTACCTTGTCGTGTTCGAAAGCAGTGTTTTGAAAGAGGCAACGGGGTTTCAGGGTGGACAGATGCCACAACAGCAGTGCGAGAAAGAGAGGGACAGCCACAAGTCAATTGCAGTGCAGGAATGAAAGTCTAGGCTGGGCAGAGTCGACTCGTCCAGGCCTGAACAAGACAAATGGGAAAAGAAGAAAGGAAAGTAGGAGACCAGCGCAGGCTGAGAAGAGTCAGTGAACTGAACAGGAATGAGATGTGCTTCTTCAAGGAGATGGTGTGTGTGAAACCGAGGCATTCAGCAACGCCCCAGAACGTTATGCGCGCATTGTCCTCCATTTTCTGCCAGTACCTCATTCCCCTCCGTAGGAATGTGGCTAGTTGTCACCGGAGAGGCTACCAGGAATCTGGACCGCCGCAGAGAGTCTCCTTCTGGCCCGGCATAAGGGACGGTGGATGCAAAGGCAGGCGGGTGTGCAAAGCAGACAATAGTTCAGCTTGCAAAAAGGCTCGTCCCAGTCCAGTCAGCCTTGAAATGGGAAAGAAGAGATGAAACCAGCGACCATCAGAGACTCCAACAACGAAGAGCTAGTCTCGTATTAGATCTTGTGAAACATGTTTCGGCGAATGCCCCCGCAGTCTGATCGCGTGCAACAGCGGCTTTTTGACTGGGCATCAGTGACCGGCGCCACGATCCATCAAACATTCTATTCCGTACATGTTCAATCCCTAGACCTCCAACCACTTCCAGCAACAGTGTGCATCTTAGCCACTATCTCCTACTTCAGGACAAGAATGGCTGGCGAGCCACTCGCTCCCTTTTGTCTGCCATCATGACCCCCGTGGCGCAGCAACAGCCAACTGCGCCAGCCTTCGAGCCCTCTGACTGTATACCAATCGCCCATCTGTCTCCGAGTTCAGCGAGACCAGCCTCCCACATTCAAGCAAAAGTTGCCCTGGTCTGGCCCTACTCTAGCTCGACAGGCAGCCTTTCCCTACTTCTAGCCGATCCGGATATTCGTCTTCGGAAATACAAGGGCCAGGTTAGGGTAGTCTTTCGGGATGGATGCGCAAGAGAAATTGCGAAGACCAAAGTCGGCATCGGAGACACAATCGATCTCGCCTTGGTTGGCTGTGAATGGAAAAACACGGGCGAAACAGTGTCGACCCCGGGCAAAAAGATAGACTGGGACTTGGAATTCCACGATCGGGCCATCTTGCAAGTCGTTCGCGATCAGAACCAAACAGCTGTTGTAAACTATACGGGGCGCGCGTCAAGCTCGCCTCCCACGACAGATGTTACCACACCATTAGCTAACCTACAGGCTACTAGCCCCCGGCTCAATGGTATTCTCCCTCGCGAACAAAGCACTATCCAAGTTCAGTTGACACCATTCAAATCGACCAGGCAGTACTCCAGTGGCTCTCTTATTGGTGCTTCCCTGGGACCCTTCGCCGAAGATGATGGCTATGTACTTGGCAAAGGCCGCAAACGTACCAAGTTCGCGAGGAATAGTGGTGCCTGGAGTCTTGTGGATTCAGAAGACGCAGAGGAGCCGAATCGTAGTATACAGACAAACTTGAACGATGCAGAGCCTATGCCTCCGGGCCTATCTCCACAGCAGGCGGAGATAGATTTCACCTCAGATCGTACTGGAGATAATGCAGACCAACCAACTGAGGCTGGCATTGTCTCGAAATCTGCCACTTCTTCATCTCCTGTGCCCCATACGCCAAACCGAGAGACCGAGGAATCCTTCAGCCTACGGCCCTCTACAGCAGCGACAGAAGAACATACGATATCCACTACAGTCGTTATGGGGCCTCCTTGGACACCGTTAAGGGCTTTGCCACTGGATCGCACTTCTAACAAAGCCATCAGTGATCAAGCACCTAGCGAAGAGCAGTATGATGAGACCTCAACGCCTCGGATTCTTCCTCTTGCATCTCCAGGTCTTCCACTAGTCTCGCCACTGATACGGCGTTCCGGTGTTGAACTCGGCTATTTCCCGCTGCACCGGGAGCCTATGTCTCAACTAGAAGCATCAGGGGAAGGTCAAGGATTTCCAGCGCTTCGTCAAAATGGTACGGCTGGTGCTGATTATGTTACTCTCGTCTCCGACGATATGGCCCCTCTCTCAGAGGAGACTTTTGTTCAGAGACAAGCGTCTAGTGGGGAGAATCCAGGAGCTCATGGTGTGGATGAAGATGTCCATGGCGAAGAAGCTCATGAAAATACAATCCCAAAGCGTCTCGACTCAAGGTCCATTTCTCCAGATTTGAACAGCCTTCAGAATGGTGCTCTTACAGCACGACCAGGACTACTAGAGGACGCAGACGACGAGCAGGCACTTACCCCGTTAGAGGAACGCCCAGCTCTCCAGGTTGTCGCAGGACCAGATACAGAACCAGTGGAGATCGAGGACGACGATCTATATGGAGCCCCTAAGGCAACTCCAAGGTCAAGCATCTTAGTTGCAAACTTGACCTCACTTCAACAGCCACAAAGCTCTGCGGATACTGTCGAGCAATATCTACAAATGTCTCCGACAACGACTATTCCTTACGCAGCAGGTAGCTCTATATCAGACGTTCCCCAATCACCAGCCTCGCAACACTCCCCTGCACTGGACTCGTCCAGTGTTTCTTGGGAAGGCAAAATGACAGTCGTTGCTGTTGAATGCCAGTCTCTTGGTACATACCCAGTACCCCCGTTCCCATTCAAGAAGAACTGGCATAAAGCAAAGGGCTCCGGTTCGTCAAGCCGGCGATCGTCTCGTCACTCACAACATCAGTCATTAGACGGGAACGTTGACGGGGATGATAGCTTTCCGCTACATCAAAGCGAGGTTCATGAGAGCCCACTTTACCCTTTGGAAGCTCCTGGTGCAGGACGAATAGAAGACCAATCTGTGGCATCTGAAAAAGACGTACATGGAACTTTAGGAGAGTCCCAAGAAACAATGGACATAGATTCTGTTGATGACGTCGTGACCATTTCCACTGACGAAGACCATTCTGTCGGGCCGGATATCGAGGAGGTCGTTGAGGTTTCACCTGCATCTGATGCTACGCACAGGCAGGAGCTACCAGGACAGCTTCTGACTCCTGATCAGACACAGCGAGACCGGATTGAGATTGACTCGGAATCTGCGATCAATTCTGCTAACCAACAGCCACTCTCGCTGATCGAACCTCTCTCACCCCGTCCCACCCAAGAAGTAACAACAACCGTGCAGTTACAGGAAGAAGTGCAGATGCAAATAAGGCATGAGAGTGCCACTCCTACGGTATCCACGCCTGAGTCGAACCCGGAGCCAGGGCAAACGACATACCGTCGAACCTTCCAGCGACTCTCTGTCAGGAAATCAGTCATGTCGGCCAACATTTCCAGTCCATATTTCACGCCTCGCAAAGAAACGCCAGAGGTTTCATCGCCATTGTCCCGAAATGAAACCCTGACTGTTCCGGAACCGGTCGTCAGTAGTCTCCCGTCATCTCCGACGCATGAGCCGTCCAAGTCTGTGAAGTTGCCTCTCTCAGTTCACGAAGTAGGTCACGCTGGTATTGATATGACATTCCCAGAAGAGAGAAACCAGAATGGAGAGGTCGCGCAACAACGAAAAGGGACCACCACATCTCTGTCGTATTATCCTCACCTTACTTCTATACCCGAGCATTTCGGAGACTTGGTTGATGTTATCGCCATTTGCGTTAGGAGGTCGTCCGAGCCTCAGCGATCAAAATCAGGACCCAAGGACTACTACACCACCTTGCGACTTGCAGACCCTTCACTGGACTCTGAAGAAGTAGCCACCACTGCTCAGATTTTCCGACCTGTCAAGAGTGCATTGCCGGTGACAGAGTACGGTGATGTTGTTATCATGCGGAATCTAAAGGTTCAGACTTTGAATAGACAGTACATGCTGTTGAGCACTGACACTTCTTCTTGGGCTGTTATCAAGGTCTCCAATAGAGCCGAGCCGCCAATGTGGGATGCTGTCGTTTCAGGCCCGCCCATCGAACATGGTCCGGGGGAGGCATTGTACGTGGAATCTCTCCTTCGCTGGTGGGAAAATGATGGCGAAGAACAGTTTCCAGATCGACCGACTTCAGAGCAAGAAAGAGGGAATACATGGGACGAGTCCAGTCACCAAGGGACACCGGCATTAAGTCGGATCAAAGAGAACGTTCTCTCTCATAACTGGGCACTGCCTGCCAACCGTCGCAAGGCGAACTTTACAGACAATATCAACAACGACGGCGAAACAGACGAAGTGGTCGTAGAAGACGATCTGGACGAGACCACCCCTCTTGACGACAAGACAAACCGGCGTCGAGAATCTACAGTCTCGACGGCACGCTCCACCACGAGAGATCTGGGCAAAGAATCTACGCCTCGACGCAGCGTCAAAAGCCGAGCATCCCCTAACTTGGTGCATGAACTGAGGGACGGCACCAAATATGTGGACCATGACCGGCGGAGAAGTGGGAGTGTGATACATGAGTTGCGAGATGGAGCGACATATGTGGATGACTGATATCACATCCAACATCCAACATCCAACGTGACGACCAATACTGATTTAATCACTGGGACCGAAGCATTTGCGCCTTATTTGTATCATAGCGCCAGAGATTTGTGTGGGCTAATGGGTGTGGACGGTCACAATTCTAGGATGATGTTCAGGGTGAGAGCATCGTAATAAAAGGCCTCGAGGCAAAATCGTGCTTTCTGGCAATTCATAAACTCTCTCCGTGCCGAGATAATAGCACCATATTTACACCTGCGGATGCTGGAGCGCTGATTCCTCCTCGCAAATCTTAATCACAGGAAAGTCAACGCCAACGCACTGACCACACTCAGACCGACGACAGACCACCCAGTAACAATGACTTGCTTGTTTGTGATAGATGAGCCGGTATCCCAGACCAAATGCCTGAGTCCGTTGAAGCTGTGGAAAGTGAAAGGCAGGGCCACCAACGACTTGAGGGCTACCTTTGCGAGAATAGGTAGGGTTGCGAAGCTCGCGGCCAGACTGGCAGATTCCAAGTGCCAACCAAACAAGGGTGCGGCGAGATATGCTGCACCGAAAACGTAGATTCCTCCCGAGAGAGTGGCGCCCGTGATGCGGTTCAAGGCGGATAGATACCATGTTACTTGAGGTTTGTAGATCGCGAGGTGCGGGGAGACGGGGCGGTGGCGACGCTGAGCAGCGAGGATGTCTTGGGCACCGGATTGGGAAACTTGCGTGGTTGCTGCTTGTCTATGCACAGAGAAAATAAGGTCAGTGTATTTGTTCCTGCCGGCTGCGTGCATCAGAGAGCTTTGGGCAGTTGGATTGAGAACTGAGTGGTCCGTCTGGCTTGCAATAGGTCCCAGGCCGGTCGTATGCCATCTCCATTGTGCCTCCCTTCCGCGCGAAAAACGTGTCGCCTGCTTGAACTTGGGGAATGAGACCTATCATGCGACGGCGCCTCGCGTGTTGTTCCATGTTCCTTGCTCTTCCGAGAGATGGGAGACGAAAACGCAGGCCGAGACAGTGTACTGTGCTGGCTCACCTATTTTGAATGTGCTGGCCCATGGCGACCGCAGCAGGAGCTGGTAATCTTGACAGAGGAGTCTTGCTGAAGGTAGAAGGGTTGGCTGCGACCACTGTTCAAGATACCGGGTCAGTTCAACTGCTTGAGGCTTTTGGGAATTGGGGTCCTACGTCGCCGAGAGGTCGCCTGCAGCGCCCGGCGAGAGAACACGTTGGCGGCCATGGCTTCTGCAGTTGCTGATGCTGCTGCTTGGGTGAGATATAGCGCGACGCTGTTGGAGGCGGCTCAGTCGACAGTCAATTGAAACAGGAGCTCATGATGTCGGCTTCAATCCGATGATGGGACTCGGATGGCTTCTCGGCTGGTTCGCCTTGGCGCTGCACGTGACGGCGGATTATTTTGGCTGCACGCTCATTGGAGGTTTGCAATATCAGTCGCAGGGCTGGGATAGGGGATCACAAGTCATATTGGGCACACATACCTAGTCTACTAAAACTGGACCTAATAGCAAGACTATTAGTCTTCTTTGTCTTTTGTCCTGTGTATCACATCCAGCTTACTACGACAGGGATACTGAAGGTGTTGATGCAGAAGCACTGTCCAAGGAGCCTAACCCATGACACAGCGTTGTGTTTACGCATGAAAGGTTGTGAAGATGCGTGGGAATAACTTTACCGCAAGAGAGACGTCACTGCGCAAGGGTTCCTAGATACGGTGGGTGATATCTTGTGTGCACAGGTGTTCCATTGCTACAGCAGCAGATGGTGAAGAAGGCTACGTTACGTTACAGCGTAGTTCGTAAGTTATGACCAGACCGAAGCTGTGTTTCGATGCACACTGGGGCCTATGGCCTAGGTGTCTATGGGCGTCGAATTCGTGCAAGCCAACCTCGCCAGCCTCACCAGAACGCCATGGTGTACCCTCACCGTGTCCATGTGCTCCTGCAGTCCGCCCCAGACTCATCGGATTATAAGTCTGGTTGGGCGGGGAGAAGCTTCACAGCATTCGGGCCTATAGGACCTGTTGTTGCAGTGGCCGCAGCCTCACAGAGTGAATCTCATGTTTTCCAGCCCAAACACTTGTTCTCCCTGCGCACCACTACCATCGCCATTCGCCTCAAGCATCATCATCATCAGTGTCAGCATCTCCATATGATGAGATCATGTCGCTCATTGTTACCTTGAAGTATGCCCGTGCAGGCTCATGCATTTGTTCACCTAGCGTCACTCCCTTTATCCGTTCATTGTGCCCTCGACATGGCGATAGCGACTTTATGAGCAAGAAGCGCAAGATAATACGACGAGCCAGGACGAGTACAAGAGTCCCACCACCACCAACATCTCTGACAGTCCTAACAGAACAGCAGGCGACGCAAAGCGTCAAAAGACATCCGATACTCTCGCGACGACCACGAACGCCACTAGAACCTCACCTCGAACTCGAACTCGAACTCGAATTCGTGATGAGCCCTCATATTTCTTCAGCCAGCTCGGGAAGTTGGAAGAAAATATTGAACAAACCCTTACGCTTGGAAACATCGCGGACAGATACCTACACACTCTCCCGTTGTCTAGCTGTCAACCGGTACCTTTGACGAACATCGAATTTCTCAGCGCAAGTCTCGAGTGCCGCCGGATCATCTACCGCTACCTCCTTGTCCCAGCGTCTAAATGCATCACCTTCTCTGATCGGAGTGCGCGCCCGGGTACATCAACTGCGAGACCTCAACTGCAAACCTCGATCCTGTACCTGAATAGTCAGATTTATCGTGAAGCGACTCGAATTCTGTATGGCGAGAACACATTCATCGCAGCAGAGCCCTCACAGCTGTTTTTGCCAAATGGCTTGCAGGGTCTCCGACGGAGAACGACAACCTATGTTCGCCATCTGTCATTCAAGAAGTGGGGGAGTGGTGCAGATTTGTGCGATGAAACGAGCGAGTCCATCTACAAACCTATTTGGAAGATGATGCTCAATCATCCGGGATTCCTGGGCCTAAAGAAACTTACCATCCGGCGTGAGGTTGTCCGACCTGTCGATCTTGATCTGTTCAGATTGCAGATGGTTACCGCCAACCAAGGGAAACCGTTGGACATAAGAAGAATATACAACAAGCAGGAAATGGTGGTGGAAGCAGCAGCGAAGTTGGCGTGGCGAGCCGCGCACAGGGATTCGATATTCGAGGGCCTTGTTTATGTCCAACAGGGTGAAGAGGAAGTTCGCTCAGGGATGAGAATATTCTTGAGCAACACCATCGAGGTCTGTCTGATACGAGGTGGTAAGACAGGGGTTGCTACGGCTGCAGAGAACGATCTGCATTCGGCGCTCTTGGACATGCTGTTTCATGGAAAAGAAGCTGATATGAGTGGGGCTGACAGAGCCTACCGCCGATATCTCAGGAAACGTGGCTATTATTGACCCATGTGTCTAGCATCGAGGGCGACCCAGGTTGGTGTTTGATGGTTGGAAAGAGTCAAAGGAAAACCTTGAGTACTGTACAAGTATGCAAACCACCATCAGAGATCAATCTCAGAATAGTGCTGAGCATTTGCGTCCCATGCTGAGCTCTTGGTAAATTTATCTCCACAGTTCACTCTCGTCATGAAAAGGACTTGTCCACGGTTAGGGCGGATATCTGCGGCGGCGCCTCTTGTTGCTGCGAACACCACACGCCGCCACCGCGGAGACAGCAAGAGTGAAACAACAATCCAACGAGGGAGAGGCTGGTGATTGTCGAATTAATTTCATTTATAGCGCCGAGTTTGGTCCGGTCACGCACTGGTGAATCGTAGAGTAGACTGATGGCCACACGAAAGGCGCAGTAAGCTTTGCTGGAGTACTTACGGATATGTGACAGGGCGTGCGGCCTAAGAGACTACTGGATCAGCTGCCGTAGTATTGAGACCTGACTTACAGTAGGTACCAGACTGGCATACTACAGTGCAGGGTAGTAGTGATTGTCGTCAAGCTTCAGCAACAGGGCGTGCTGGTCATCCATTGTAGGAGTTTGCCATCCTGCTTTCTTATTGTCGCCACCTTGGAAGCCAACATGGCGCTTGGTTAATTAAACCACCCATTCTTTGGCACAGTAGATGCCAATGTGACGAGAGAAAAACAGAGATAAGACGATTGAACAAATCTGCCACTAGGTCTCAAATACACAGAGATAGTCGACAATCCTCCAGTATGTTCGCCCAGCCAGCCGTGGCCCTTCCTCTACCCGAGTACTCATTCAATGCGCACATTTCCTCTCCTGCAGCTGTGCAACTACGACCCCGGCTGGAGACTACGCAGACACCAACATTCTCAACCAGAGCAGCGACTGTTCAAGATGCGCCCGCTATCGCTGAGCTAGGCTCGACTGTCTTCTCGACAACCTATGGCTTCTCCATCCCGACACCGGATCTCAACGCTTACCTGGACGAAGCATATAGCATCTCTGCCATAGTCAAGAACATTACTAGCCCCTCTATCCATGTGGTCGTGGCGTGTTCCGACTCCGACAATCGAATCATTGGCTTCGCGCAGTTGACTGAGGGTACTACTGAGGCTTGCATCGAGGACCTCGAGAGCATCGTCGAGTTGCAGCGTCTATACGTCCACGTGGACTACCATGGCGCTGGGGTGGGAAGGACGCTCAGCAAGGAGATTGAGAAGATAGCCCGGGACCGCGGATATCGCACCATGTGGTTGGGCGTATGGGAAGGCAACTTCAGGGCGCAGCGGGTGTACGAGGCGATGGAATATTCAAGGGTCGGCGAGCGTGAGTTCAAGATGGGGCAATGTATTCAGACGGGCTGGATCATGTGCAAGGATTTATAGACGGTTATCCTCCTCTTTCCAGCCTGCTGCGTTTCAATGTACAGAACGGTAGCAAAGGAGCGCGGGACGGGGGTGCAAGGCTGATGCGATGCAAATTCAAATAAAGTGCAGCTGCGCAGATGTATCCATTGTATGTGACCTTGATCATGAAACCCGTGCGCTTCATCGAGAGAAGAACATGGGCGATTAACGGCAGGTCTGGTGCTCCTTCTAGGACTCCGTTGAGGGCAAAGAACCGAATATCAGATCAATGCCCGTTACCACTTCTAGAGCAATCAAGTGTGCTTGGAATGTGAGCTGCCAGGCCGAAGTCCATAAGGAGGGAAAAGAAGGAGGCGGAGAGTTGTTTACGGTGGAGGAATTTATATTTCGTGCTACTGCGACTGTGAGGTGTGGCTGACTTGGCAGAATAATATCCACTCTCCGCATAGAATCATACGGAGTACGCATGGGATATCGTGTTCACTTCTGTCTGCGACACCAGAGTCGTTTGAGTCGAGACTATGGTAGCCTTCTCACGTCGATCCCTTGTCCCTCTCTTCATGATGGTCTAGCCGCGACCTTCCTTCTCATCCTCTGCTCGTGTTTCGAAGCAGTTTGCTCCTTTCCTCTTGAGGACCTTGCCAGCTTCGTCGTCCTCTGCCACCCTCTTGGACTCCAGCAACCATGCACAACGCTCTCAATCGACTCCAGGCCACCTTCGGGTTCTTCACCTCCTGCGCGTTTACTCTGGCGTTGATCATCGCCGTCCTGTCTCTCATTCCCATACCGGCCTCTACAAGCTCGCCTAGCGCCTCCGTCGCTGTCCGCAACGTTCAGGTCGTTAAAGGTCGCCCTCACTACTACTCTCCGAAACGCGAAGAATACGCCCAGATCAGGTTCGACCTTAATGCCGACTTGTCGAGTCTCTTCACTTGGAACACGAAACAGTTGTTCGTCTATGTGACCGCAAACTATCCTAATGGAAAAGACGGTCAAGGTGATTTGTCAGAGACGGTCATCTGGGACACCATTATTCCCGCCACTTCCACTCCATATTCCTGGCAGAACCTGAAGCAGAAATACTTCCCTGAGAAGAAGAAGTCGAACTCTAAGAGCCGAAGGGATTCAAACGCAAAAACCAAGACGACAGACCTTGTCAAGCCCGGTGTGCTCTCTCTGAAGAACCAAAAGCCCAAATACCAAATTACAGATCCGAGCGGTGTCATCAGTGAGAGGAGTAATGCGACATTGCAGGTCAGCTGGAATCTCCAACCTTGGGTGGGCTCTTTGGTCTGGGACCAAGGCTACCTGGGCCAACGAATTGGGAAATGGAATGCTGGCAAGGCCGGTAGGAGTGAGCCTTTTGACTTTCCGCCGTTGAAGGGCACCAAGACAGATACTGTCAAGGACAAAGAAGGGCCTAGAACCCCGGAGGCCGGTTCTGCTTCACCAGTCATCGAGATATAGATGAGCGTGCCAGAGCGTGCCAGACTGCACACGACCTCTCTTCCCGGGCGCTCTTCAGCCTTTGAGACGCAGGTCGAGGACGGCACAGCGATTTGGACTACCGACATGCATCCCCATTGCTTCTGAATTCTGTTCACCCATTCCTCTCGGGGCAGGTATAAATGGTCTCCAACGACATATGAAGGGTCTTGGCCATGTGCATGGAACCCTGCAACATTTAACCTCTTGTGATTTTTGATTCCAGATCCATTCTATGTGGAGTTTCCGTAGAAGCACGATAGCTGGTGATCCGCTAGAGGCTGGCTACGACGACCACACATCCGGACAGACAGACACACCAAACTCGTAAGCTAGCTCCCGCTCCACCCAACCCCGATACATGCATCTCTATGAAGATTCGAAAGGATTGTTTGTATCCAGCTCCAGTTCACATTCGCTGCACCAGCCACTCTCTAATGACTGGCGGAATTCGAGTCATACCAATCATGGCGTTGATTCTCTTCTTAAGGCCCACTCGGTCCAAATGCTCGTCCGCCACTTCATCCGAGCGGACGAATCCGCCATACCGCCAGCTCTCCCGCTTGAAGGCTACTTGAAGGCGTTCAGGACCGCTTCTAAGACCCCCTGGTCCAATCGACTTCGCGACAAAATCCGACGTAGCGCCATGTCACCTAAATACATCAACAAGCTCAACGGCAAGCGTGTCATCGTCGTTGGCGGAACCTCTGGGATAGGGTTCGCGACTGCAGAGGCAGCTGTGGAGTATGGAGCCATCGTGGTTGTTGCCAGTTCGACACAGTCAAAGATCGACAATGCTGTACAGAGGATGCGGAAATCCTACCCAGATGTAGGCGATCGAATTCGTGGCAAGGCGATTGACCTAGTAGCGGCCAACGTCGAAGATCAGATGACCTCCCTGTTTGACTTTGCGACCGAAGGTGGCAAGTACAGTCTCGACCACGTCGTCTACACCGCCGGGGATTTTTTTGGCCCGACACCTCTGTCAGAAGTCACAGGTGACAAGCTCGCCGCATCCATGAAGCTCCGGGTCACTGGCCCATTGCTCATGGCCAAAGTCGCCATGAAATACCTTACCCTTAGCCCACTTTCATCTTTCACGATCACCAGCGGTGTGATGGATTCCAAACCGCTCCCCGGATGGGCAGTGATGGCTCCCGTTGTAAGCGCTCTAAAGGGCCTGACTCATGCTTTGGCCCACGACCTGAAGCCGATTCGAGTCAACTGTGTTTGTCCCGGGGCAGTCAAGACGGAGGCGTTTGCTCCTCTTTCAGAAGACCAACAGACTGCGGTTGTGGAGCTTTTCAAAGCGAAGAGTCTAACCAACACAGTTGGAACACCGCAGGATCTGGCCGAATGTTATCTCTGCTGCATGAACAATGCTTTCATGACAGGGTCGGAGCTCTACGCCGATGGGGGATATCTGCGGCATTAGGATGCTCATGTCAATCATGACAGGAGGCTGAGGATCACTCGGCTAGTGAGAGGAGGATATGAGGCAGCACATTGGTATTGAGCTGGAGAGTGACTGGCATTGCTACAGAGGCGCCCGGCAGCATACACCCGTTAAGCGAAGGACATGTGGCTGATTGGTAGACGGGATAGATGGTAGCATGCTTCTAGACGACCTGAAGAAGCAATTCAATATTCTCAAAATCGGCGATTAGAGCCTTGTACGAATGTGTCCCGTCGCTGGAGCTGTACTCGTGGACACCACTGTGTCGAGTTTCGGCTGGTGAAAAGGGGCATAGTACGTAGTATCTGTACCTGTCGAGGAGTACTAGTATTAGTACGCCCGCAGAACGCGCCAAGAGGTTCGGGGAAGCAACTCGGAGACTGCGAAATGTTGGCCGCCCCCTATGGTCTGTGAACTTGTCGTCCATTGACCTTATTTTCTTCTTGTTCTTGCCTGCCGACCTGTCCTAGCAAAGATGCGGTCGTTGTCGATTCTGCTCGGCCTGCTGGCCGTGGCCATCTCTGGAGTCTACAGCACGGCGTTGACCTACAAACTTGGGGCCAACGAAAAGGCATGCTTCTTTACCTTCGTCGGGCGCCAGAATGCCAAAGTCGCATTCTATTTCGCCGTACGTGTGCCAATGCGAAATCCTCGATTCCAGGACAGGGACGGCTGTTGACGGTGGTTCTAGGTCCAATCTGGCGGCTCGTTCGACGTCGACTACTCGGTCATAGGCCCGAACGACAAAAAGATTATGGAGGGCCAGAAGGAGAGACAGGGCGACCTGGTCTTCACCGCGCAGACTCCTGGAGAGTATCGATTTTGCTTCGGCAACGAGATGTCTACATTCGCGGACAAGATGGTGGATTTCGAGATTGCGGTATGCAACCCTGGGCTGGCTCGGCTGTTGGCTGCGTTGCTGCTTTGCCTTGCCACGATGTTCTCATCTCTCTTGTTCCTTACACTTTGCTGACTGCGAAACGTGACATGTGCGCGTACAGGTCGAAGACGAATCCAAGTCCGCCCTCCTCCCTCAAAAGGCCGGGTCGTCTCCCGAGCAAACCTCGGTGCTAGAAGACGTGATTTTTAAGATCAGCGGCCAGTTGAGCACAATCAGTCGGATGCAGAAATACTTCCGGACAAGAGAGAACCGCAACTTCAGCACAGTGCGCAGTACTGAACAGAGAATCTTCAATTTCAGCTTGGTCGAAGTGCTCATGATGGCGGGAATGGCTGCCTTGCAGGTCTTGGTCGTCCGGTTCTTCTTCCAGGGTGCTCGGAAAGGTAAGTCGACTTTAACAGACACATACATGTTCCGCCCGAAAGAGATTTCCCTGTTGTATTTGTGGCTAGACAGGTTGCTGACGGGCTTTACTTTACGTTTGGCAGGATATGTATAGAATACACTTTGGATGTCGCCACACGGTTCGCGGCTTTTGTGATTACCTCTACCCAAGACACATGGTTCAACATGATGATACTAGTATGCACGAATAATCGGAAAAAGTTCATCCCTTTATGGAATTGGTGGCATTATGCATAGGGTCTTGGATCTTGGATCTTGAAATACTAGCACTGTTTGTGCCACAGACATTCCTGCTATGATGCCGGTCTGCTGTCCACAAGTTGACTGTTATTGTTATTGTCGTCCAGCAACTGGCGGAGAAGCTAGGCAAGGCCATTGAGAAGCACACCAACTGCATCCTTATTGATTGGCATAGCTGAGGGCGCGTTCGAGAGACGACCTACGACTCCTGCGAAGTAAACCTCGACAACCAGCTGCAATATGCAATATGCCATTCGCAATGTGCCATGTGCTCTGTGAACCGAGCTGGCGGGTATGGAAGATGCTACTCATGAAATATCGATGCTGCCGCTGCCCAAGCATAAAACTAACGTCCTCTCTACGCTTCTCGAGTGACCCGTTCCCTTGATTTGACTTTCCGTCCCCTTTTCTGTGCATTGCCGGTGCTGTTAACATATGATGCTGGTTATCCACCGCCTTGAGATGCAATACTGGCCCTCGAATGAAGGGTCGGGATGCTCCGTAGTAGTTCATTGCTAGGGGAGTACAATCGCTACCAGAGGTCCAGGACTATAGCACTGCCTTGGGTACATTCTTGGAGGAAGAATTGCCGCAATATTTATTTATTTATTTAGTCTCGTTTAACGTCCTTCGGGTCACATTTAAGGTCCCACGTAGACGCCAGCTTCCACTGGAAATCCCTTACGATTCCTCCTCTTCCTGATTAACTAGGACCCTAGCCAACCAGCTTCTATAGACTCAGTCTATCAAAGTTGACCATCTTCACCACTATCGCCAGCTGCCTGGGTTCAGATGGCTTCAGCTAGCCACGACTAGACACCTCCTAGCCCTCTCACCCTCTCCCTCAACCACGAAGTCTCTCCTCATTGTCGCTTTCGGGTTCAGGCTCCGCTGGCTCCTGCCAATTCTCCTCGATGTTACAGAGATCGTACTGCCTGAGCAGTCCGGTTCTCTGTACCATCCTGGTTGCCGCCCGACAACCTCTTTCTGTACTCAAGAGCGTTTTGAGGGAAGGGCGGATGCCTTCCTTTAAACCGCTTTCGAGGCATTCTTCCCTCAACTCTACCCAGGTCGGGCAGTGTAGGAGCACGTGTTGAACGGTTTCTAGCTTTTTGCCGGTGCAGGCTAAGCACCACGGCGTTTTGATGTCGGGGACCTTCCTGTTGAAGAGGAAAGCCCTGAAGCCCACCTTGCCGGTCCTTAGTTGAATTGCGAGCGAGGACTGGTGTCTCTTGAGTGACCTATGGATCTTTTTCACTTTGGGGTCAAGGTATGGCTGGATAATCCTGCTGTGTGCCCCCTTTTTACTTCGCTTCCACCTCTCCTGCCACCTTCGACGGCAGTCGGTTTGGATTGCTGTTTTTGCTCGCTTAAGGGCGCTGTTCTGCTCGTCTTCACCCTCCTGGCCTTCCGCTTCCGCTGAGACCATAGGCGTGATTGCTGACGTCCAGAGGGACATCTCTTGGATCGGACCGATGTACTCTGGGGTCCTTCCTCTTCAAAGAGTCATGAAGTATATTCGGCGTGTCTACCTATCTAGACTATACCCTAGTTTTCGCTGTTTCCTATGGAACTCGGCCATAGCCCAGCCTCTACGGTCAGGGCCGACCCCAAAGCCCTTCCCGCCTAAGTGACTCTCTGTTTACTCCTTAAGCATATAGCACCAGGCCTCTCCAGCTAGGACGACACCACTACCACTGGGATTGGGGTCAGGTCCTAATTGCGTATTAGGTAGCGAGGAGCGTACGAGCCTGATGCTCCTCGCTAGGACGACACCACTTCTCCCAACCCAGTAGTAGGCCTTAGTGCGAGTAAGGTAGCCAGCTCCTGTCTCTTTATACACCGACATGCGCGTCTGTCCTCTCAAGCCATATAGACAGTCTCGTAACCGTACGCCCTCTTTCGGAGCTGCGCTTGGTCGTTCCGTGGCTGCCATTATATGCTACGCCCCGCGAGCCTTGACAACTCGTTTCGCGTTACCTAGCGCGGTCTCCCGCCTCTAGGCCGACCATGTCTTGCAAAGGCTTCGTATGTAGCATCCTCACCGGCAAAGCTAGTCGTAACCCTCACTAACCAAGCTTATTTCCCCTCGTACGGCGTGTTTCCTTTCGGTGGCTTGTGTCTTTCCAAGTATTGTCCTCCTCCTGTCCTCCTTAGATTGCCTGTTCTCGAGGTTTAACAAGGTCTTCGGTGGGACGTAGGAGGTCGAGAGTAGGCTTGTGCTCGTAGCTTAACAGGGTCTCTCGCGGTCGACCGGGACGGCGCGTAGGGGGCTTGTTCTCGAGGTTTAACACGTCTTTACGCGTCGTCTCGGCTTTCCAGGACTATACTCGTCAGTCTTAACAGGGCCGATCGTACATACCCATAGAAGATTCGGCTACCCTCGCGGCCAGTCCTGCCCGACCGTCTCAGAGCGCGTGTAAGCTGAGGGTGTCCTGTCGCGTCAGTAGGCGATACCACATCCGCAGGATCGATAGGTCCTGTTTCGGTTTCGAGTACGAGTCGAATACTGACGTGTCGGATGGTTTTCAAATCAATTCCCTCTTTTTTGTAGTTGTCGTATCCGCGTCCTTGGCCATCCGTGGAGCTCCGTTGAGCTTCGCGACCGACCACAACGCGTTGGATTCATCTTGGCTTCGCTGCAAGCAGCTACTGACACCGACACCACGAGAAGGTGTGAATCCATCGTCCCACAGGTCTCGCAAACCTGTGCTCCGCGTGTGCGCAGAGGGCGAATTGCCGCAATAAGGTGAGGTGAAAGGGATACAAAGACAGTGAAGTATAAAGAGGAGAAGTAAAGGAAATTGCATTGTCAGATATTAATTATGCTTATGCCAATATAAATCACGCAGAATCCAGGTTCCTTAATTCAGTCGGTGAGACCATGGTGCTAATAAGGACATTCATTGATTGTCTAGACAACGCCAAAGTCGTGAAAGGGGGATCCTTGTAGGAAGAGGATTTCTGATGATCTCTTTTTTCTGTCCTTTGCTCTTTTCCCCCTCTTCAACTTCCATTTCCTTTTGCTGCTGCGCTGGTCATGTCTGGCACTGATACATGTATCTCTGCGAGACTAGGCCACGATAAATGTACCACCCTAACCCATATCCCTAACCCGAGAGCGACAAAGGCTTTGTAAGTGTCAAGTCTGGCGATATCGACAAAGGAATCTTCCATGTGTCCCTCGACTACCTAATATTGATGATAGCTGCTGCGCCTGCAGCAAGGACCGGCATGTCTCTCAAGGTATGCAGGTTGACAAACAGAGCAATGATGGCGGCGGACTGTGGGTTTCGCCCAAGGCTGAAGTCCTGCTTCCCACCAGCCTTGCGTGCCGCACCCCGATATGAAATACACGAGTGTCAGACATATCGGCCTGGCTCAACCATCGCCTGAGGCTTCACATCCGTTGTCAGGTGCGTTACAATGCGTTCCTTGTCATACAAAATGGGCAGCCTGTTGAGATGAATGGCGGCTTTCCATGTTTTTCGGGCCACAAAAAACAGGCGAAGATAACTAGAAGCACAAACCCATCCCGATCAAACCACTCCGTTCTGACGCAGCTGTATATCCCTGCACTAGACACTCCATCATCCCACTTTCACAAGTTTCATTTAGTCGTTATGCTTGTTCCTGAGCCAGCAAAAGTGGACGACGATCAACTCTTCCACACAAGTCAAATCAGCCTTGCTTTGACGACAACTCCTTCTCTTCGCTTGAAGCAAGAGACCCCCGGTTCATTTGTGTCGCCCTCTGACCCAACTAACTGGGCAGTGTAAAGAGATGGAAGTCCTCCTGTCGATGCAATGGCAAGTAGTCAGTCTCAAACTCTACTCATTCAGGGCCTCTGCGAATAAGAGCAGAAGGAGGAACGCATGACTGACTTTAGGAATGGTCCGTGGTGCGGTGATAATGACCTTGCCCAATTTGATCTGTCCTAGTCAGCCTCAGTCATCCGGTACAGTCACTCAAGAAAAGTCTCGGACCGACACCGGTGTTCGAATCTGGAAAAAGGGAAGCAATAGTGAATGAGATCGAAGGAGCGGTTTCACCCGAATGGTCCACGAGCCACGCTCGAAATTCCGATCCATGTAGTTCCTCAGGCCATCTGGATCGATGTATCTGTCGTCAATGATCTGTCGGGCGCGACCAACGCTAGAGGCGGATGAGGCGGATTCGGTGGAAGATGTGGTGTCTTGTCTCGGGAGAGGCATTTTTGTGAACCCGTACAGGAAGATCGGATGGTCGACTGCTTCAAGATTGCGGGACTTCGGGGGCTTTTACGGTTGCTTCTGGCACCGGAATGGACCGATCAATTGGGGGAAGAATGACCGCCTTTTGGGAGACGACAAGTCGTAACCGGCCTGTGTATCGGTTGCGAGGCATCTCTTACTGGCTCCCTCGCGCTTAGTGTCACCCCTCTACAAGGTCCTGCAATTCTCTATGGAGGAAACAAGCCAAAGTTCAGACAATGGCTGTGCTTGGACTTGCCCGGCATAGCGCCGTGTTGGGCATTGCTGCATCCCTCTTGTGTCATTGCTGGCGAGATCATTTGGCAAAGTGCCCAACTACTAAGGGCGGAAGTGCATCATCCACGAATGTTCGCACGTGTGCTTCCACAGAGACAAATTTTGTGCCACATTTTGTCTGAGGGCATAAGATGAAGGTGCAGGGCCGGGGCGCCGGCAGCACTAAATCAAAGGCCATCACAACTTGGGACCTCCCTGCAACCTTTATATCCGATGCTGGTGAACGCTGTTTTTGCGGCAAGCGTTGCACGCACCAAAATTTGTTGGAGGAGTCGACCGGAAGACCTGGAAGCTTCCGTGATTGAATAGAGGCGAGGAATCACCAAATCCGTTGCATGTGGCTTCGAAGTCAGAGCAACCCACTGGCAATGACTCACAAGAGCAGCAGGATGTAGGCTGGTGACGGCCCTCTGGTCTGGTCAGATGGAGGGCTGAACACCCAATGCAAAAGAGACCAAAATGAACACCATCGTATTGGTAGAAAGAGTGAATCTGGATGGTGGAAATAATCAGACCAGCAAAAATACATACAAGCATCCGAGATTCTCGTCTCCATGGATCCAAGTTGTCCTGAAGCATACAGGTTCTCGTCCCCGTGGATCCAAGTTGTCCTGCCAGTCCGTCCCCTGGAAAGAGGGACTTCGACTTATATCGCCACGAAAGGAAGTGTGAAAGAAGGCCCAGCCCATCAGTCCAGCTTGTGGTAGTGTCACCTCATGCTTTGAGTTGATGCTGCTTACCAAAACAAGCCACCGGACGCCGACCCTGTCGACTTCTGAATTGGCCCTGTCTCCCCAGCTATCCTTTCTCCCGTTGACGTTGAGGAGAGTGGATTGGTAAGCCGTACCGTGGTCTTCTCAGCGCCTCAACATGGCGACATCCTCCTGTTTTAGCGCCATATTAGCAACCGTGGGATGCGGGAACGGTAGGTGTGACAGAGACTTGCCCAGCTGAGTTCCTGCGGCGTCTGGCCATTGGAGACAAGGTATTGTATGTAATACTTGTCGAGCTTCCGAGTGACCTTGAAAGACCCAGCCTCGTTCTTGGTGGAGAGGAAATCTTCCAGCTTATCCTTGTGAATGAAATAGCTGGGGATGATTTGCTGCATGGCCTTTTGTCTCATTAGAGGGGGGGCAGCGCGACAAGGGTGCCAACAGAGTTTTAGCGACAATTGGGGATTTCGCGTTGGCATTGATGAACTCGGGGGAAGGGGGGTGGCCTATATATAGTATGATGGAGCAAGGAAGAATCAGCGGGCGGCCCAAGGGAAAAGAGGGAAGAAACAACGACATGAAGGCTTGGGACTATTATATTGTACAAGCAAAGGAACAAAGCAAAGGAACTCCGAGGGTGGCTTAGCCACGCGCAGTACTTTGTGCGCGATACTGGGCTTCATGCCTCAGCATCCTTACCTTAGGCTCAGCATCGGGGGGAGAAGCTGACTATCTGCTGCTGCTGCTGGTCGGCAACATGACACGAATAGGAACCCCTGACGTCTGGTGACATGGTCAAAAGTCCTGAGCTAAGAATCGCGACCTAGATATACGCAAGGTTTAGGGCAAGGCAGACTCGGAGGGGGGGCAGCGCCATGCAAGGTGCCAGGGTGACAGGGTGCCAGGTCACACCCCTGACTGTGGTCAGGCAGAGTGTGTGATAGTTCTGAGACACTACTGGCAGTCCAGTCCTTGCAGAGAGTGAGATACTGTACCATCCGTACTCTTCTGCCCTGGCGCCTCGGGCAACTCCGCCCAACACACACGCATCGTTGACATTCCCCGCCTTCACTGGGGAACAGAGAGTTCAGGCTCAGATTCAGGCTCAGAGTCAGGCTCCGACCACCCCGAGCAGCCTGAGCACCGTACCTTGGCCTTGTCTGAGTCAAATGCAAGCTACCTGGTACCCGAGTTCTGCAGACGCCAGGACGCAACATGCCATGTCGACCCTGACCCTGACCCTCTAACAGGAACAGGAACAGGAATAGGAACAGGATTACGGTTCATGGCCACCTCGAAGTTTCTCCAAGATCTGGTCCGGAACAGGCCTCCTCTGACGCCGGATGACTATCTCGAAGCGCGCCTGGCCGCCTCGTTGGCCGCCGACCAGGATCACGGGTTCGTCGAATTGCTGGTCGAGACGAGGCAGGAGTCAGAGCCATTTGTGCATGGCAGTGACTCGACGTATGGCTCCTTCCCAGAGCAAGTAACTAGATCACCAGCAGGCAGCTCGCCCGCGCCCTCAGTATTGCCGCTGATGGTTATATATGACAAGGCTGGCCTCAGGCGGCGGTTGATGGTAGGTGTCTGCCTGTCGTCGACGACCTTGGCCACCACTAACTCGACCTCGACACGAAGCAACAGTCAGAGTCTTTCCAGCTGGTGTCTGTCCTCTCTCCTCTTTCTGGCCCTTGAGCCTCTCTTTGGTCCCTGCTGACCGACACAGCTTCATCCGGCAGCGGAATTCAATCAGCCCTCTCAGCATTCACCACGAGCTACTGATATGCTTGGTGGAGACATGTCATATCTCGCTTCGACTGCTCGACTTTATCATCTGCTTCGGACCCAAGAACGGCGAAACACGCCTGACACCGCCGTCGATATGGGCGTCGCCAACAGTGTACGCTGCAGAGGGCAACGAAGACGATGCGTTACAAGACTTTGGTAGGCCGGCCCGAGCCCTATGTCAGTGCTGTGGTTGATGAAGCAGAATCGGCCTATATCGTGCGGTTTCCTGAGCTGCACCACCGCTCCGAGTCTACCCCGTGGTCGATGAGGCAGTTCCTGATCTACCATCGGCTTCCACACAACCGTGGTGCTGGCACGGTCATCTTTGCCGGCATTGGAAAGGTTGCTGAGAAGGCTCTGGAAGACTATTTGATGAGCTACGGGAACCCGAGGTGGCTGAACGCCTGGGAGATTCATTTTGTGCTCCTCAGCTGTGTCGTAACGACATGGCGTCCTTATCTCGCCTATCTGAGTGAAGAGATCACGACTCAGGTTGGTTCTGCCCACTTCTAGCCAGACAGTAGATAGGAGTTCACAGTTCACACCGAGCAGGCGGACGGCGCGATTGTGGCCGACCTCGACGGAGAAGAAGTCGAACTTTCCCACTTCGACGAGCGACAATACCTGAAACAGCTCGAGGATGCCGTGGAGGAAGCCATCTCTCTACTGATTCATATCCGGGACACGGCCGAAACGATGCGAGCAATGATGCGGAGGCACCGGAAGTATACGGCAGAATCTACTGCGTTGAAGGGCCACGCTATCCTTGATCGTGGATTTCAGGACATGGTCCGGAATTTAGAGCATTACGAGGCGCAAGCAAAGACATTGCAGCGCAAGGTCCGCAGTGCTTCTGACCTGGTAATGCCACCTCCTGCCACGGCTAGTGAAGGGCTCATGGCTCATGGCTCATGGCTAATAGCTAATGGCTCATGGGACAGGTCTCCAGCATTCTGGACCTGAGCAACAGCACCGCCTTGAAGAATCTGGCAGTCGCATCTGCCCAGGAAAACGCGGGGATGCACGAGCTGACCAAGAAGGCCACACAGGATGCGGCCGCGGTCAAGGTGCTCACGATCTTGACTCTGATATACCTGCCAGCCACAGTCATCTCGGTGAGTATGTCTGCGTGGCGTGGCATTCGACATGTGCTAAGGCCTCAGCAGAACTTCTTCTCGACCTCGTTTGTCAACATGGCCACGAGGTCGGATGGCAGCTCATTTGTAGTGGTTGCGAGTAACTGGTGGATCCTAGTTGCGACTGCGGTACCACTCACCGGCATCACCATCTATGTATGGAAGTTCTATGTCCAAAAGGAGATCGACGGACAGTACCCGACCTGGTGGCAGGTGGTGTGCAGACAGTCCACGAGGGTGCTGAGGACGGCCTCGCGCCCTCGACGTCAGAGGGATGACGGCACATGGCGCCTTGAGTGAGTACAGAGTATTAGGCTTCCTGTCCTCTCGCTTGATACGACGTACAGTACGGGGTAAAGGGTGGCCGCGCCCTCGACGAGTCCTGAGGCTCCTTAGACTGCGCAGGACGGAGTACGGAGTACTCAGTATGCCTTGCAGCCACCCGACCCGGGCAATCAGGAGCTAGTATCTCCAATCCATGCCCCTTGGCGGACACTTTCCTCCAGAAGCATGTCCACGGTCACAGCCCGGGGCGTGCGCTAATGCAAGACCAAGTTTCCCATCACCCTCATGGGCTGACTGGCAGGGACACGGGACGAGGACCCCTCTCGGTTTGCCTGGTTGCCTGTCCAGACTGCAGCCGGTGAGCAGCAAAGCTGTTCGTCCTGGTCGGTTGCTATCTATGCCATCCCTGCCTCCATTATGGCGTGGTGAGGCTTAGTGAGAGCAGCGGCCGCGGGAGGGCTGTCGAGCCTTTCCATGAAGATGCATTGTTCCTCGAACGCCTGTGCAGGCACAGCAGGTTCATATGGTACATATGTAGCCTGATATCGCCGGACACGGCCCTGCTTTCTCCATCTTCTCACCTCTCACCCACTCCCTCGAGACAAGATGCACAAACTAAAGAGTTTTCTGTCAAACAGTTCGCCCCCAAATAGTAGGACAGCCGTCCGTGAGTCTATTTCAGCCTGGTTGCATACTGACAGGCTGCCTAGGGAGATTAGCCATGCCGCGGGACTCTCTCGAGGGAGCGGTCACCCGCCGGTCACCAACGGGCCCAAGCCCTACTGCTGCCCCTGGACCGAGTCCAACTCGAAGGCCTGGGCCTCCTAACAAGCCTCCTGCGGCCCCGGGCCGCGCCAGGGGCGATGCTGGGACCCATGAGGCCCCCTTGGACGCGTCCGAATCTTCTTCAGCTACGAGGCACCAACGAGTGCCCTCGCTGTCAGTACAAAAAGCGTCTGATCGATCTGCTGAGGCTCCACAACCGACGTCTCCCGACCACCTGTCGCCGCGCCCGCCTGCTTCGCGCCCTAGTAGCATCAGGAGCGCCAGGAGTCGTGAACGCCCTTTTCAGATCATCGAGGATGACCCGCTGCCGCGCATCTTACCAGAGAAGAGTGAATGCCGATTGCGCATCACTTTCGACGGGCGCGACGGAACGCCCAAGCAGAGCCAGCTTACGTTCGAGAAGACTTGGACGGATCCGGCTTCGTACGGGGAACTCTACCAGCAGATCAAGCAACGGGTCGACGCGCACAAAAGGGAGCTCGTCAGGGACCGGCAGAACGTAGGGATTGAAGTCTACCAACGACACGGATCTTGCCTCGTGGTTGGAGGCAGACACGAAGGCCCCTACTCGGTCATCGAAGACTACGAGGCGGAAGTGCTGGAGCAGAAGGCCATCCAGAACATCTGCGGCTTCATCTATCGCCACCCCTTCGAGCCCTTCCGGCTGGAGATCTGCCTGCACTTTTCCTCCATCCGCAAGACGCCACAGCAAAGCTACGGGCGATATGGGAGGATGGTGATTGCCGAGATCAACTCGAAGATGTCGGACAACAACTTCATGGACCAGGAGTTCCTGCCTCGGGTGCATCGAGACCAACTCACCTCGGCTCAGATCATCGAGAACATCCTGCGCGAAGAGCCGCCGCGCAAGTTTGGGTCGGACCCGCGGAGGCTGAGCCAGGAAATTGTGCAGCGAGGCGCGTCAACATTGTTCATCGCCTGCGTGCACCGCAGCATGGAGAATGATCTTGCGCTGCACCTGATCTTCGGCCACAACTACAACGACACGAAGCTGCCCCTGCCCGGCAAAGGGACCTGCCGCGAACCGTCCTGCGACTACGAGGTCAAAATCCTGCTCAAACACCTGCGGGCGTTCTTTGCCCGCACCATCGAACGTGACGGCAAACGGCATGAGCTGGAGTACGACGAGGTCATGCCCATCATGAACATCGCCAACGAGGAGACCGGGGCCAAAGAGACGAAGCTGGGCGAGGGATCGTACGGCAGTGTGACGGCGGTGACCATTGACCCGTCCCACCACTATCTGACGGGGGTGAGTAGCTGGGCTGGCTGGCTTAGGCCTTGCCGCCGCATCCTGGGATTGGAATTTGGACCATGGCTAATGGTAGCAGGACCCTGATCGCACCTTTGCCCTGAAAAAGTTCACCGACCAGGGCAACTTTGCGGCCTCGTTTAGACGGGAATTCTCCATGCTGGAGCGGCTGTTTCGCAAGCAGCATCCGCACATTGTCACCCACATCACCAGCTGGACCCAGCGGGGGATCCATTATATCCTCTATCCGCAGGCCACGCGCAACCTCCGCACCCACATCGACAAGCACCAGTCTCCAGGAAGAAGCGGCGTCAATGTGGCCTGGTTGTTGCGCCAGTTTAACGGACTGGCCGACGGGCTGCGCAGCATCCACGAAATGACCGAGGAGACGTCGGGATATGAACACTCGTCGACGACCGTCGACCAGACCAACCACTTTGTGTACGGATACCATCACGACATCAAACCGGAGAACATCCTTCTGTTCGAGCATGTGCCCGGCCGCAACCCCGTGTTCAAGCTGTCCGACTTTGGCGCGGGCAAGTTCCACACCATGCCAAAGAGCCAGATTCACGAGACCATGATCAGTCAACAGAGCTCGCAGCTGCGCGGCACCATGTCCTATTACGGGCCGGAGCTTCGACGCTCCAAGACCCGACCCTTTGACATCTGGGCCCTGGCCTGTGTCTATTTCGAGGTGACCATCTGGTTCGCCCTGCCGCCGGGCCACCTCGAACAGTTCCACTTGTTGCGCGAAGAACAATCTCCCCGAACGCTGGGCTGGGCCGATGACTATTACTGGAGAGAGAGTCCTGTCGCCGGAGCTGGAGCCGGAGCAGGAGGCGCCACCGCCACCGCGGCCGATGACGCCCAGCTCCGGCCGGCCGTCACGCAATATTTCACTCTGCTGCGAGACGAGCTGGCCAAGGACCCGGACGAGATTGGCCGTCTGTTACTGGGCAGTCTGCTGGATTTGATTTTGGAATGCTTTGCCATCAATCCGAAAGAAAGGCCCACGGCTGACAAACTGTGTAATCGGCTCGATGAGCTGCAGAACCAGGCAGAGACGCTGGCGAAGAATTACGAGCGGGAGGTCTCTACTCCCGGCGGCAGTTCAGGCCACAGCCTTCAATCCAGTGATGCCTCGGACCATGATCACGACAATGGCAACGCCAGCAGCAACGGTGGCGATGACTTTTTCGCCAGATCGCCTAGTCAGCGCAACCTGACGTTTCCCGAAGACCCTCCTTCTCATCGCCATCGATGAGTCGATTGGACTTGGCTTGTCATTACTATGCTTTTGGCCTCGTATGTCATTCCAGTCACGAATGACAATGGTCCCCCTACATCTCATCTCGATGACCTTGCCATGCCTTAGCATCGCCTGTGGAGTTTGGTCTCTCTGTCTCTATATTTCTGATTCGCTTTCAGCCGCGGCTGGCTGCTCACCTCGGCGATAGACTCATTCTGACATGGGTTTCCCTCGACAATGTCGATCGAGGAACTAGGTCAACTGCCAGACGACTCGGCATAACCCTGACGGCAGCAGAACCCGTCTCTCTTCTGTCCTTTTTTTACTTTCTTCATTTTTCTTTCCGCACCGACAGCTTCCTCGAATGGTGCGAGGCGACTGTGAGTGCCGGAGGATTGGAGACTGAAGATTGGAAAAGTGTGAGGATGCGAGGATGCATTTACATTCTTTACGACTTTGACACACCAACGACTGTACTAATGTCTGATCTGATCACTTACTGATCACTGACATGGATATCTCATACGAAATGCTCTATATCTACTATGCAGGGAACACAAGTGAATTATGTGGGCTGTGTGTTCTGGTTGGACTGGAGCCTGGGGCAATACGCCTTCCAACAGTTTGCGGGCTGGCTGACAGCTTGCCGAGCGTTCTCTTTTTGTCTTGTGGCAGGCAAATAATGGTCTGGATCTGACCATCTGATCTGGCCTCTAACCTGGGGCCAGCTGAAAAAGAGATGGTTCATCTCATCTCATGCTTTATTTCCACTTCATCTGATGGAGAGTCCAACTGCGGGATTGCATTGATTCATATCTGGAACCAGGCCCAGTCTCAGACTGACTAACCTGGTAGGTTTGGCTGCCCACTGGCATGGCGTTTCGGTTGAAAATGGTCCAAGGTCAAGCAAGGGGCAATGGCAAAGGGTCAAAAGCGCTGATTTTCAGACAGTATTTTGTTTCGCTCGCGGTAAGGTTACGGTTCCCCGGCTCTCAGAGGTATCACAGACTCCTTTGAAGGGTCAAGGCGTGGCTATCGATCATGGAGAGCCTTGTTTTGAATATGGACACCACAGTAGGGACATACATACACAGACATATACGGAGTGTATGCGGAGTGTATATACAGTAATTGAATATTAGTTACTACGGAGCATTCCACTTCTGACTGCGTGGCCCTATTACGGAGCACTTGTTTGACCACGTTTGTGTAGAAGGTTGAAATTTCCATGTTCGTTATCAAAGGGTATGGGTATGGGGGAGCCCAGACTATATAGGTATGCCTATACCAGCCTTCTGGTTAACGTGCAAGGCTGTGCCTAAGTTTGACACGTAGAAGTGAAGTTGGCCAGATGGAGTTAGAGTGCGTTTCACGCTCAATGCTGCTCCTTATTCTACGGCGGACCATATCACCCCGACTTACTGCATGCGGATCAGTTCGCAGCACTTTTTCAATTGTCGGCCATGACTGCTTTAGATTGACACGCAACAACTCGCATTCACTGAGTCCTCGGGCTCTTCAGGCGGTATACTACTGTCCGCGCCACTACAGCCTCTCCTCCAATGGCGTCGAAAACATCCACACCCAGCCGAATCGTCCTCGACTTCCTGCGACCTGCTCGACGATCACCATGCGACTGTCTTCGTCTCCGACGTCTAAACCACCGATTTCCTCCTCAATGCCGTAATGTCTCCACGGCCGCTTCTCATCTCTCGGAGACGGAGGTAGAAACCGACCTCCCTCCGCGGTGGTCCCAGACGCCTTCCGCCATGAAGGCTCCAGTTCGCGCAAGCCCACCGCGGCAAGGCGGCAAACCCCTTCAGATCAATACCGACCAAAGGAAACTCGACGAGGCGTACGTCAAGTTTCTAGGACGGGGCGGAGATACATTACTTTCAGACGAGACAAAGTGGCTTGCGGTCACGAGTAAGAGTTTTGACCACGGTCGGAGAGGATTCAACGACCGGCTGGCTTTTTTTGGTACACCACTCCGTCCAGCTTTGCTTGCGGCAAATGCTAATCCTAGCCTAGGAAAACGGATACTTGAGCTCCAGTGCTCATTAGGTCTTCTCAGTGTAACGGACGCAGCCATATTCCTGAAAGACAAGGAGAAAGATCCGCACGGCCGGGAACCCTTTCGGCATCCAGCAATTGAATCGGCAGAATGTCTGCTCGGGGGAGCTCATGAATGGTTCACAAATCACAAGCAGCTTGCAAACCTAGCAATCCAGTACGGGCTACCGGAAGTGATACGGTGGCACCCCAAGGATGTAAGTGCTGAAGTGCTCTACATACAGGCTCCATTCGTTGAGGTGGCTAACTTTTCCAGCCCGAGCAACTCGAGGCATCTGGCGCGGATCTCATCTACTCGCAGGCTGTTCTAGCAATCATTGGGGCGCTGGCTCTAGAACAAGGAGGCGCGGTGGCCAACCGCATAGCAAAAGAGAGGGTGTTGGTTCCATTAGGATTGAAGAGAGACTGGAAGTCCAAAGGCGACCTTGCAGAACCCTCGCGAAGATAATGTCAGAGTCTAAATCTGAATCCGAATCCTCCAATACCCCGTGTACATGTACCAACATTATGGAAATGGCGGGACAGCATTAGCATTAGCATTGACATTAACATTAAAATGAATGAGATGTCTGGGTCCTCTGACACCGCCTAAGCAATTTGTTGTCCTCAAATGAGACCGAGTGCTCAGCCAGCTCTTATGGCACCGTCTAGAGATATAAATATCTCCTTGGTCTCCGCGTCTCTAAATCGCAAAGTCTGGCAACTGAGTAGAGCCACGAAACTGCGACAAAATGCCACGGTTCCGCGACGATGCTGCATTGCACTGTCTTTTGGACGCGGTGTTTGGAGGGAAAAGGAAACCAGATTCGGGGTCTGGAAATTTCAATAAAAGGCGCGAGGGACGGGGCTCAGGCCCGGGTCTTGGCAGTACGGACCAACCTGCCCTTGGAAGGCTCTAAGGTAAGGCTTAGGAGGTCCCTAAGTCCTTCGGCTGCGCGTTTGGGGTGGGCAGTACTCTACCGTAGTAGGGTTAGGGTTAGGGTTGAGCCTTAGTAGGGCGCGTCACGAGCATGGAGTGGCATCAAGGCATCAAGGCATCATAGTGGCCTCCGCGGTGAGCGACATCAACCTCCGTGTCGACCTTACTCTGCTCACACATTGCAGCCACATCTTAATCACGTCTAATAAGGTGCCAGTATGCGACGGTGTAGTTGACTCTGCGACACCGGTCACGAACTCCTCTCTCTGTTACCCTTCAAGTCTACATCTTTGACCGTGTTTGTCCCGCATCTGCCATGGCTTCTGCACTATTCTTCCTCGATTTGAAGGGCAAGGTATGCTTCCAACAATCTGCGGGACAGCCCAGGTCTCACCACTGACACTGGCAGACCCTTCTTGCCCGCAACTATCGAGGTGACATTCCCATGTCCGCCGTGGAGAAATTCCCCATCCTCCTTTCCGACGCCGAAGAAGAATCATCGGCCGTCCCCCCGTGTTTCTCTGACGAGGGCATCAACGTTCGTGCCCCTGCCTGAACATGCTGTGTCCGGACTCTAACGGGCCAACAGTACCTCTACATTCGCCACAACAACCTGTATCTCCTTGCCCTGACGAAGCGCAACACCAATGCCGCAGAGATTCTGTTGTTCCTACACAAGATTGTCGAGGTGTTTACAGAGTATTTCAAAGAGCTGGAAGAAGAGTCCATACGAGACAACTTTGTCGTCATCTACGAACTGCTGGATGAGATGATGGACTTTGGTTATCCTCAAACAACCGAGACCAAGATCCTCCAGGAGTACATTACTCAAGAGTCGCATAAACTCGAGGTCCAGGCACGACCACCCATCGCCGTTACCAATGCGGTGTCGTGGAGAAGTGAAGGTATCAGATATCGCAAGAACGAGGTGTTCCTCGATGTCGTTGAATCCCTCAATCTACTGGTCTCGTCGACCGGCAATGTCCTACGCTCCGAGATCCTGGGTGCGATCAAGATGAAATGCTATCTCTCGGGAATGCCCGAACTCCGCTTGGGTCTGAACGACAAGGTCATGTTTGAGACGACCGGTAGAGCCACGAGAGGCAAGGCGGTCGAGATGGAAGACGTCAAATTTCACCAGTGTGTCCGGTTATCCAGGTTCGAGAACGACCGAACCATCAGCTTCATCCCGCCAGATGGAGAGTTTGAGCTTATGAGCTATCGTCTCAATACCGCGGTGAAGCCACTGATCTGGGTCGAGTGTGTCGTGGAATCGCATTCCGGGTCCCGGATAGAATACATGCTGAAGGCCAAGGCGCAGTTCAAAAGAAGGTCAACGGCCAACAATGTCGAGATCATAATTCCTGTCCCGGACGACGCAGACACGCCGCGATTCCGTACTAATATCGGCGCTGTACATTACGCCCCCGAGAAGTCCGCAATCGTCTGGAAAATCAAGCAGTTTGGAGGCGGCAAAGAGTTTCTGATGCGTGCAGAGCTTGGTCTTCCCAGCGTCAAAGGGGACGACGAGCGCGGCGGTGGGATGACCGGTGGCTTTGGTGGCAGTATGGGAGGCATCGCCGGCCAGGGCAAGGGCAAAAGACCGATCAACGTGAAATTCGAAATCCCCTATTTCACCACCAGCGGAATCCAAGTCCGGTATCTGAAGATCATAGAACCAAAGGTCAGTGGAGACTTCGTGTTAGACATGTATGACTTTCTGACATTTTGCAGTTACAATACCCGTCGTTGCCGTGGGTACGATATATCACACAGTCGGGCGATATTGCCGTCCGAATGCCTGATGTCCAAGGTTGAAGTTCCGGCCATGAGGTATTGCCTGGAACAGGATGTGTCAATGTCCCGCCCCGATGAGACTTTGGCCATATGTTTTCTGGTCTTGAGGCAACCTGTGAAATTCGCCAGGAGAATCGGCTCGGATATACAGAGTACACAGGCCAGGATCACGGGAGCGGCTAGGCCCCTTGCCTCCGACCAGCACACAGGAAGCCCGCCTAACACGTCGCTCAGGTATGGGCTGTCATTCTGTCGCGTCGTCTGCGGCATCGCTCATTGTGGGATGAATCATGAAGGACCTTCGAGCGCATCTGGAGCAACTACGCCTTGGCTAGCCGGGGAGGCAGAAAAGGAACTACCTTTGGTTCGAGGCATGGATGGGGGCAGGACAACGTTGCGCACTGACATCAGAAATAGTGCATTCCTTACCGCTTCTGGTCAATAAATCTGACCTGTTCCAACAAGGATGGCCTCCTGAGTCTCCTCGTTTGACAGATGTGTCGTATATTGTGTTCAAACTTGAAGTCGCATTGATAGGCAAAAACACCAGCCGCAAATGGCAGGGTTGTTCATGGGTTTAGCTACACGTTCTGCCATGCCGCTCGGGCTCGAACCGTGGCGGGATGTGCATGGCACCTGTCAGTTTTAGCTGAAGCATCAACTGCGACCATTGATGATCCCACCTCCCGCCTCTGTGCCGCCCTGACGACGAATGATGCCACTGCCATTGCGATGGATTGCTGCGGAGTTGACTTCAGACACAAGGCCTGCTAAAGACTGCGTCTCCAGTGGCTGGATTCGGGATTTGTTTCCGGTGGCACGGCTCGCTTCAAAGCACACCACACATTGACGGTAGCCCTGGCATCGGTGGGAGGTGTCACCACTTGTCGAGAGCTGTAAGCTTGACACTAGGTACGTACTTGCATAGAGAATCAGCCTGCAGCTACATACATACGTACCACCAAACTTCAAACTTCGTCTCTCCTTTGGCTTGGGGTCGCCTGGGACACCCCCGTCCCGGGATTTGAATTTCTCCTCTGGCTCAGCTCGCCCTGAACCCGACCGCCTAGCGGGTGAGGAGCTATGGGCCTAAGGGCCCCATAGGCTCAGCCTTAGGCCTACAGGAAGGGCTAGGGTTCGGCTGAGGGTCCAACCACCCTAACCAAAGGACTTAGGGGCTTATGGGCACCCACCATCGCATGGGGAAGAGGCTCCTTCACTCCGGCGGTCGTCCGGGTCATCTAAGGGTAGCCCAGGCACTTACCGGGCATCAAAGGTCAAACTCAAAATGCACGCGGCGCACTTGCGAGGCAGGATGAAGTCGTCTCGAAGTCCATTTAAGCGATGCACCGGCCGAATGACTCGCCAGACTTCTCTCTCAGGCTCCCCGTCTCGTCTTCCAAGCCAAGATGGTAAGACGATCTAAGGATGTGAATGTTCGGGGAACCGTCTCCCAAGGGCTCGAAACAACCTAACCATTTGGACGGACTCAAGGAAAGCTGTCTGGCATCGGGCTAGCCTTGAAACTTCAAGAGCTGGAAAAAGGATCCGGGAGGTCGTCTACGCGGTGCATGTATGCCATGCCGATCATGCAGTAGTTGGATCAGGTCTGCTGCAATTCTCTTCCGTGCGCTACTGTACACACCAATCTCGATCAGCCCAGCAAGCCCAAGCCCAACAACCTGGCCCCTTTCTGGAAATACAACTCCTCCAATCACGAATGAGTGCTTCTCGATGTGTCTGGGTTATTCTAGGCTTGAGGCATGCTGGAGGAATCGCTCTGTCGGCAATCTGGTCCTAGGATCGCAGATTCGAGATCACCATCTCTTGGCCCAAAAGTGGACTGAGCGCCAAATATTTACGCTCGCGCCATCCCGTGGCAAGGATGTTGCGAGATGGGGTTTGTCGAACTCTGGTATAGTCAACGAGACTGTCCTGGCAGTCGTGTCTCAGCATCTTTTCTCTTCTTTCGAAATCCCTTTGTTGACGACGAATCACACCCTGTATTTCATGCACGACTGGTATTTCGTGCTCCCATCCATCTTATCATGGATGAGATATTAGGTAATGGAGCAGGAGAACCCCCCCATACACAGAATGCACCTGGATCAGGCCGCTCCAGAGCAACCGTTGCCTGCATCGTCTGCAAAACTCGAAAAATCAAGGTAGGGCCCCGGTGCCGGCGACTGGGAAATTTTCCGAGATCTCTCTTGACCATACTGACCGGTTGTGCTATAGTGTTCGGGAATTGCACCTTGTGAGACCTGTCGGGCTCTCCAGACAAGATGCACCATCGATGAGACTCTGGATGGACGGAGAAAGGTCGCATTGAGCCGTCGATTGGAGGAGTTCGTCCATAACAAATGGATTCTGGAAGGCCTTCGATTATGTCTGAGATTCGCACGCGGCTCGTCCATGACTGATATCCTGGAGCCAGTGATGAGGGATGCGCCCTTGTCTATTCTGGCGATGTCTATCCTCACCAGCTTGTCGGGGACCGTTGTCCCCGAAGGGATGGGAAAGCACGTGGACCAGATTAAACAACACCTTGAGCATTATGTGTGTGAGACTAAGCGCAGAGGAGGCGCATCTCGGAGCACAAGATGGGAAGTGCCGGGAATCATCTGGCCCCGAGGCTGCCGGCCTGCTTCAGTCGAAGGTTCACGTTCTTTTCTGGAGAAAACCAAACCCGCCTATGCACCAGAGAGGCCTGGGGATGGGGGAGTGTCCGGAGCACTCCCTTGGCCACCTTCACAGAGCTATGATATTGGCCTATCTCCCGACATGGAGAACCCACCTCTCAAGCCAGACGTTGGCCTTGAGCACATTTTGCAATGGCTGAGGGGGGTTTCAGGTCACATCAAGCCGGAAGGGAGCCCGGACTTGGACTTTGGATATAGTACGATCATTTTTTCCTGTCGTGGGTCCGAGGCTAGGACAAAGTTTGCTAACCGCCTCTAGGTCCGATACTGGGTACCCAGTTGGGAGAGAAGTCACTGGCACTACTTAGCTCCAATTTGCGTCCTGCAATATTCACCATCCCTCTGGTATGACGCTCTTCGTGCTCTTGTGCCCAACCCTCCGATCTAACGTGGCAGGATAAGACCGACTCGTTGCTTCGGGCCAATGACAGCAAGGATTCTGCAAATTTCCAATCGCAAAAGAGGAAGAGATCATTGTCGTCGATCACCATACCACCAAGGCTTGCACCTTCAGCGGCGCCGCAGTATAAACCTTCGTCTTCGAATCATGTATCGTCCTCGGAAGATGCAGCCACGTCTCGGAGCTCTTCCTTCACCTCGGCCCCAGTGCACTCAACCTATGCACAGTGTTCGCCAGATATGGACCCCGGAAGTCGCCCGGTATTTCCATTGGCACCTTCGCCACTTCGTCTCGCGCCACACGTTTCGCTGCCCCTGATCGAGCTCGACAACGACCCGATGGCTTGTGCCATAGTCAGCTATCTCGACCTGGCCCGCTCCATGATCTCACAGGGAACTCCCATCCTTGAAGTCTTCGGTCCCGAGCGACCGATCGTGGATCTGCTGTTTCGTTCTCGGAAAGAGAACGACGCACATTCTGTCTGCCACTTTGCCTGTGAGCTCATCTCGGGCCTCGAAGGCATGGATTTCGCGGCCAAGTTGGGGCTGGCGTTCATGTTTGTCCACCTAATCCGGGTAGGTCAGGTCTTCCGTCATGATAGTAATCGTACTGACTGGGAGCGAGTGGATAATTCTTTGTTCAACCGCCAACTATGCTCGTATTCCCGAGCTTTACCGACCCACGGCGGCGCAAACCACCATTCCGCACAGTGCCGCCGTTGAGTTCTGCCCCTTTCGTCAATTGAGAGATGCGCTTTGTCGACAACACCGCGAATTCCTCCCGGCTCTGGCAAGCAACATTAGTTGCAACTGGCCGTACCGAGTCGACACGTGTGTTCAGCCACACGATGACTCGCCACATCTCGTCCTGACAGACAGCTTCTGCAGGCACATCCAAGACCCGGAAAATTGGACGGTGAGAGATGACATCTTCGACACCTTCCCCGAGTGTAAAGGGCTCATCAAGACCACGTTGTGACAAGCCTTCACTGCGGCATGAGGTTGGTTACGTCGGCAAAGGGATGGGAGAGAGCACAGAGGGCAGAAACAGAAGAAGAAGAAACCCTCCCATCAGACACTGGGCGACATTGTACCATTATCATTGTATGAACAGGACATTAGCGGTCTACGAGTACGGAGAATATATCTGTCGAGTCGTGTCGAGTCGTACTACGGATGGGCGTCTCAGCACTCAGGGGCAAGGCTGCTTAGTCAGCACACTCTCTTCCGCAAGGCTGCAAGGAAAATGGAATCGGTTGTAATGACATCATCTCGCATACTACCTGCGAATTAATTTCTGGTCAGGAAAAGAAGCGCGAGAAAAATATAATATCCAGTGTGATGAACCCGCGCTTCAGTGTGCCATTGCATGGATTGAACCTTCATTTCTCCTACCGGTATCCGTACAAGGATCTTGATTAATTTATTTTTCCTGCGTCCATTTCCCACCATGTCCTCCTCTGCCGCTCTTCCCACGCCGACGCCGACGCCCGACGAGATCGACGACCTGATCTACTTCTCGCGCACCGGCGATCTCGAAGGCCTCCAAGAACTCATCGGCACACTGTGCACCACGCACGCCTGCGCTCCCTCCGTCATCCTCGCCTCGGCATTCGACGTTGACGAAGACGGCCTCGGCTCACAGTCCTCGCTGCTGCATTACCCGGCGGCCAATGGCAACGTCGAGATTGTCAATTACTTGATTTCGCTGCTCAGGCCGGCTTCTGAGTCGGTGGGAGGGGGAGACGGTGCTTCAGTCACGGTGGGAGGAAATAATGCCAATTCATCCCGACAACTGGTCAATCATAAAAACGTCAACGGCAACACACCACTACACTGGGCAGGCATGAACGGCCATCTGGACGTGGTCAAGGCTTTGGTCCATGCCGGTGCAGACCCCAGCATTGTCAATGCCGCCGGCCGGGACGCCGTGGTCGAGAGCGAGTGCAGTGCCAAAGAAGGCGCCGAGGCTTGTGCCGAGTGGATGTTGAAGAATTGTGACGGGCTGGAGAAGGCGTTTGGTGGTGGAAGTGAGAACGACGGCGAAGAAGGCGGAGTGGGAGTCGCTGCTATGGATGACATGGTGGTTGACGGGGAGGGGGGTTCTGTTGGTTCTGATGCTGGTGAAGGTGGAAGTGGAAATGGAGCAAGAGATCAGGCACCGTTGAATTCCATACAAGAGACGTGAGTGATATCGGGGACAAGTGATCTCCATACAAGAGACGTGATATGGGGAGAATTGATCTCAGCACCCCTGGGGTCGCGGTGCCAGATCACTCCGTCTACGTCTACGACAGGGCCATGATGGAACAGGATGTCAAATCAGTCCGTATACGACAGTGCATGATGGAACAGGGTGCCAAATCAGTCCGTATACGACAGTGCCATGATGGAAAAATCAACAATCAACCCCGACACGTCTTTGCCGGTTCGACATCTGTCGAATCCTCACCCAACCATCACCATTGCTATGGGTGTGGACGGGCTTGATCATGCATATCCAACGTACCTCGAGCCACGCCTTTTGGCCGCAGAGCTCGAAACGACTCAAACCGAAACGAATCAAACACAGCTACGAGAATAGGCCTCGAATGTTTCGGCGTCAAAGCCATATCGCGCCTTATCCGGCACGAGTCTGCAGTATCACCTCAACCGTCAGAAATTAGAAAGGGTCATTCAGCTCAACCACCAGAAATCAGAAAGGGTCATTCAGCATTCCCCACCTTTCGTCACGGATGACACGGGTACGCTGTGTACGCACGCACGCAATAACGATCCGACCGAGGCAGAGTCTGTGGAAGAAAGTCGAGGATATGAGAATATGGCATTGCATTTGATCCATCGAGGTCAGGTGCCCAACATGGTATATGGTGCATGGTGCCGCTCCAGTCTCCACTCCTTTCCAGGAGATCATGCATCGCACCAGGCACACACTCGTCAGCATCACACCTCAAAGACGGCAAGACGTGCAGACGGCAAGACAGTGTGCCCTACCTACCTACCTACCTACCTACCTAGTTGAAATGCAGCCAGCACAGATGCAATACAGATAGATAGATAGATAGACGGTTGGGAAATGGTCGTTTTGCAAGCTCTTTGCCTCATCCTCCACGAGAGCTGTCTGTGTGGACGGTTGGATGGGTGGCTGGCTAGGCTAGCTGAAGCGCCGATCTGATTCTGAACGTATGAGACACGCAGTGAACATTGAACATCGCGACAAGTACGGAGTACTGCACGCCCGTCTCATCTTATAGCTTGAGAAGCTACCTGCTGCTGCTGCTGCTGCTCGTACTACTCCGGGGCTGGTCATGCGAACGGCCGCTGAGGAGCATATTGAAGAGTTACGCTGATTGCATTCTAGAGGTCCTTTTTCCTGTGGCTGTGGTGGTGGTAGTCTCCAAGAGTCAATCATCTATCGACCTACTTGGAAGTGAATGGGACACCTACAGAGAAGAGGAATCTCTCGTGGTCATGGATGGCATAATTCTCGTAAAGGCCAACGATGATTTTAGTATTAATATTGATATCCTGCTTGTCTGGTCCCAACCGAGAAACTACATTGCTCCAGTAAGGGGTAGGTAGGTACTAGCTAGGAGATGAATATCTAGCCCATCTCATGTTCTCGTAGTGTCCAATTCATACCCGTCCGTCTCTTCTAAAAGAAAAAAAAAAGGAGACTGGAGATCAAATGTCGACATGGTTCCTTGCTCACCTACCACGTTGCATCTTAGAGTGGTTTTCGAACCTGCCCTCCCCATCCTGAGCAACAGATATCTAATATCCCAACTATTTCTCGTTCCCCAGGGTGTTGTCTTGCAACAAAGATCTGTCAAGCTCGAGATAGCGAAATCACATTCGGAGCCGTGATCGGAAATAGCCTTTCTCTACCTTCCCCACGTGATGGTGCCAGAATTATAAACATTCTGAAGACCCGAATTATTGTTCCCCGAAAAGACCACACCTGAGTGACGATCGGGCTGCTCAGCAATGCGTAATGGTTCGGTGATAGAGCCTCTGCCGAGGTCTTTACCGATATCGACAGAACGTTGGAGCCCTTGCACCACTCTCTCGGCCATGGTTAGAAGTAGCTGCCGCGCGTACGCCGCCGCGGTGGCCGCCGCATATCCTTGCCAACCTTTGTTCTTGTGCGAATCCGAATAGTCGCAGATACCCCAAATGACCAGGCATGGGAAGATATCCATCAGTCCGGCCGCTTCCATGTCGAAGCAGAGAGCATCATGAAATTGGGCGCTGATCTTGTCTCTCGTCACTTCAGACTTCATCACCCGATCCCCCGAGAGGATGGTGCTAGAGTGTATTTTGATTTCATCCGGAGGGTCGCGTTCCGGACGTCGGATCTCGAATTGCTCATCGTGCTTGCTACAGTCCGAACCAGTCTCATGGCGATGATCTAACGAAAAAAGACGATCTCTGGTTGATGGACGCTGATATCGCTCTCGCAAACGAGGAAACCGATTGAATCGATCGAGGTGGGTTGCAAAAAAGCTTTCCTCGCCTTGTTCTTGCCTTAAATACTGATTTTCCACGATATTGACAACCTTGAGCAATAAAGCAGGTGGTTTATTCAAGGTCCTGGTCACCTCAAACCCCATCGTCGTTTCCTTGCCCAGGTCATACTGGACCACCGCAGGACCGACTTCCGGGGCTCCAATGACGACGTCTCCCAGTCGTACGTCGTGCAGAGGAAAATGAGGCACGCCTCCGCCGATTCCCACCAGCAAACCAAGTATCATGTTTCTGAATGTCCAGTGGATGCTCCCCACCACGTCAGCCATGGCAACTTTTCCGTGGGCGCCTCGGGCCGGTCCCACGACGGCGACATTGTGCTTCCCGATGCGGCCCAGGGTGTATTCATTTTTATCTTCCAAAGCCAGAGGGACGGACTCGTGCTGTTCATCCAACATCACGGTGATGGCATGCATCTCGAGAGGCTTGACGTAGATGAGCGCGACCGTGTAGGCGTCGGAGGAGAGAAGCTTGTTAGGGCCCATGCTGCGTGCGAACAGCTATCTGCCGCCACAACTCAAGGGCTGAGCGGCTTCGTATAATCTGAGAGCATGGAATCAAATCGAAGGGAAGGAGAGTGTATCGATTCAAATGATTCGAACGCGGGTGGAAATAGACCATCACGTGTAGTTGGTGCTGCCTGCCTAGTAATAGCCTGTCTAATACCTGGTCTCGTCTGTTGGGCAGCCGCACCTAGTTTTCAGCCTCATGGCGTCAAGCCGAAATCTGAGCCGATGGTCACTACTACAATGGCGACCATGTCTTGACGACGACCCTTTTTTGCTATATCTAATGCTCCTCGGCATCGATCGATGAAGGAATCCTACCAGCAATGGCCCATATACCGGTGCAGTTTTCGGGTGACAACAATCGTGGTCTTCAAGTGGGCTCTAATCTGGGGATGATCAACTACTACTCTCAAAATGGTGTGTTGAATTGTGTCTGCGTCGAGTGGATTCATCGTCCGCACAGCTTTGGCGCTTTCTTATCAGCAAATACTGATGCTAGTGGTGCTGACTAGGATCACTTTCCCAACCTCCTCCTTCTCCGTCAGCTATCATTCCCTTCCGCCGCGATCGTGAGTTTGTCGAGCGCGAGGTCCTCAGTGAACTATGGCAACGAGCCTCCACACCGGCTGCCCGAGTAGGTCTCGTAGGACTTGGAGGAGTCGGGTAGGAGATGGGCAGACACCTATCCAAGTCGCTAGCTGATTTCAGGCCAGGAAGACGCAGATCGCAATCGAGTATGCGTACCGCGTCCGAGACCAACACCCCGACACCTGGGTGTTCTGGGTGCACGGGAGTACTGTGGCCCGCTTTGAAGAGAGTTTCAAGATGATCGCCGAGCGACTGCAGCTTGCGGGATGGGGCGAGCCGAAAGCCGACATTCTCGGCATGGTCTACCGATGGCTCTCAGACGAAAGTAACGGCCGGTGGACCATGGTGGTTGACAACGCAGACAGTACCGACGTGATGTTCATGCCGTGGAATGGCGCGGCCGCCACGCAGCCAATAACCTCGACATCTCCAGCTCCCTCAGCACCTGTATCGTCTACGGACCGCTCATTGTCGGACTATCTTCCATCATCGCCCCATGGATCGATCATCATTACATCTCGTTTTCAGGATGTCGCGGAGGGACTTATTGAGTGCCGAAGATATCCTCAAGGTGAGACCGATGGACGAAGACTCAGCTGTAACGCTGCTCCGGAACAAGCTTGCGAAGTCTGAGAGATATAACATATCCATAACTCAGGATGACTCAGTACATCTAGTTCGAGAACTAGATTACATGCCACTCGCTATTACGCAGGCGGCGGCATACATCAATCAACGAACACCACGCGTCACCATATCAACGTACCTCGAGGCCTTAAAGAAGAGTGACGATGAGCGAGGCAAACTCCTCCAGAAGGATATTCGCGATCCAAGACGAGATGGAAAGGCCTCGAACTCGATCATGGCTACCTGGTATATTTCGTTTGAGCACATCCGACGGGATCGGGATTCAGCGGCACGACTCTTAGCGCTGATGAGCCTCTTTGATCGCGAAGGGATCCCGGATTACCTTCTCCATGACAATTATCGTGAGGATGGGGAGAGACTGGATGACTTTGAAGAAGATATTGCCATGTTACGAAAGTTTCACCTCGTTGATATCGGGAGGGACAATATCGGGAGGGACAATAGATTGTTCGACATGCACCGCCTTGTTCAGTTCTCGACAAAGAAATGGCTTGAGCAGCACCACGAGCTGGAAAGGTGGCAGTGTCGGTATATTGAAGTCTTGAGTGAGGCGTTTCCGACAGGGAAATACGGGAGTTGGCAAACATGTCAGGCTTTATTCCCGCATGTGGAAATAATGGCAGGATATCAAGTCGAAGATGAGAAGTCGCGTCAACACTTCGCGTCTGTCCTAGATCGAGGAGTGTGGTACGGCTCTGAGACTGGACGGTATGGGGTGGCGGAGAAGATGGCACGGATGAGTCTACAAGTTCGAGAGGAAGGGCTCGGCCGCGACCACATCAGAAGTCTGAATAGTGTGGGCAATCTCGCAAGAGTGCTACAGGAACAAGGGAGGTACGATGAGGCGGAGGAGTTGAACCGACGGGCACTAGCTGGCTGCGAGAAGACATTAGCAATGGATCATCCCAACACGTTGATGAGTATGGAAAATCTCGCAGTAGTGCTACAGAGGCAAGGGAAGTTCGATCAGGCGGAGGAGTTGAACCGACGAGCACTGGCCGAGATGGAGAAGGTGTTGGGAATGGATCATCCCAACACGTTGAACAGTGTCTCTAATCTCGCATACATACTCGACCTCAGGCAAGAGCGAGACAAGGCCCTGGAACTATATGGCCGTGCTGTCAACGGTTTTATGAAGGTCCTCGGTCCAGCACATCCCAAAACCCTTGATTGTCAGAGAAACCGGAGCTCGTTGATATCAAGGATGAGCACATCCTAATCGGAGTCGGACGTCTTTCCCCCGGATGTCGACTGGACGGGCTTGGTGGTAGAGAGGACGCTAGGAAGTCACAGTGTGCGTTGCATGGGAGAGGAGAGAAGGGGAGGCGAGGGAAGGGCAAGTTCAGATTCGGGAAGGGATGGGCTGTATGACCAACTCCTATCCTACCAGTATCCTACCAGTATCATATATACCAGTATCATATATACCAGTATCATATATACCAGTATCATATATACCAGTATCATATATCGTATCTCGATAACCCCTGAGCCATTCCATCCCGTCCCGTTCTTCACCATCCCTCTCTCCTCGTAAGCCTGACTCGAACATCATGTTTCGGACTCAGCGTCCCCGTCCCGGCGTTCCTGCCCGGGTGAAGCCACTGACTCAAGCCACCAGGCCCGACGGGCACCATGTCCCACTGCATCAGGATGGCGGCGGCAAACAAGACGACTTCTCGCTCGGCGAAGGTCTTGCCCTTGCACATGTGCTTGCCTCCGCCCCAGACTCTCATGCCGCCGTAGTCGACTCGAACATTGGAGATGTGGACACGCATGTCAAGTGGGTCATGGTCGACTGGGACCCCGGTTTTCTCGTTCTTGGTCTTGCTCTCACTCTCGCTCTCTCTCTCGCTCCTTCTCTCGCTCCCTCTCCCGCTCTCGCCCTCTCTCTCGCCCTTGACCCAAAACCGCCGTGGGTCAAACCGGTCCGGACAAGGAAAGTACTTCTCGTCGTTTTGATGTACGCCGTGCGGAATACAGATTAACTCGCCCTTGCGCAAGAGGTAGGCATGCGGAGATTGTCTGCCGAGCAGGCGGGCGTCGTGGTCGGATTCGGTGACGACGAAATCCCGCCTCACTTCCTTGTAGGTCAGACTGCGCGACTCCAGCCGCATGGTCTCGAAAAAGGCCCCCTTGAGAAGCGGACACTTGGTCCACAGGCCGTCGACGTCGATGGCGAGCCGGGGCGCCTCGTTGACCGACAGGCCGGAGGGAGGCGGACGGCGGAGCTGGACATAGGGACGGATTTCGGCGCGGATCTCGGTCAGCAGACCTGGCGTCGAGTAGACGTACCACAGAAGCCAGAAGACGAGAGCGTTCGCGTTCACATTAATGGCCCACAAGACGGCCGCGTCGGCCGTGGCGGCGGCACGCGGCTGAGCACCACTCTTGCGGAACGCCTGGGCCCGGTCGACAATGACCGACGACACGTCCGACATGTCGCTCCATCGGTAGCCCGGGTCCTGGCCGTCGAGGTGACGGTACAGCGCGGCGTGGTGTTCTTGCACCGCGGCAATCACGCGCGCCCGCGCCGCCGCCGGTCCGCGCATGCCCATGCCTGGCAGCCACGTCGGCACGCCCGCCATGAATAGCGTCATGCGCGAATCCATCTCCCATAGATCCGCCATGATGTTCGGGTTGTTCTCCATGAAGTTGCGTCCGTAGAGCACCGTGCTGGCAATCTCGCCTACAAAGTATCTAATTAGTGGATGGAGACTGGCTTCGACGATGGTGGGTGTTTGAGGGTGTGACTGCGGTTGGGATTGAGGTTGCAACTGAGACTGCAGCTGCGGTTGGGATTTAAGGTGGGATTGAGGATGTGACTGCGGTTGGGGGTGGGATTGAAGCTGGGATTGAAGCTGGGATTGAAGCTGGGATTGCTGGTGGGATTGCTGTTGTGATTTTGTTTGCGACTGCGGCGAAACCAACACCTCGACTCGAGCCTCCCGTTCCCAAATACTTTGGTCGACACGGCTCGCCGCGCCCGACACCAAGTTCCACGTATCTCGTTCGACGGTCTCGACGGTACGCTTGATGGCCGAGGCGACGAAACTCTCACGCAGCATGCCTGCCAGCACGGCGTGGATGTCCCCCCACAGCGCGGCCGGGTCGATGGCCTCGAACGAGCCGCGCGCGTCCCACACGTATTCCATGGCGCGGAAGATGAAGGCTTCTCCGCCGACGGGGGCGTGCCGGTCGTCCATGATCTGCTGTGCCAGGCTGGGCACCGTCACGATGTTGTGGCGAGAGTTGCCCATCATCAGCGCGTACATGGACATGGACATGGATGTGGACGAGTCGCCTCGTAGTTGTCGTGTCGTTCGGGCCAGGAGTTCTGTGCCCCCGATGGCGAAGGATAGGCCGTGGCCCAGCCATGGGATCCAGTATGGTAGAGTTGCGGCAGGTTGGGGTGGGTGGATGGATGTGGGTGTGGGTGTGGGTGTTGGGCTTGTCGAGCTTCCCTCGTTCCTGAAGACTGCTGTTGCTGTTCGATACTGTATCGAGGTGACGATGCGAGTGGCGATGCAGACGAGGCTGAAGATGACGATGAGGGCTGCGATGGGGTGCTGGATTCCGATCGTAATCGTCTTCGTAATTGTCTGATTCAGGATGGACGTGGGCATGGACGTGGACGTTGACATGGACGTGGATAGTTGAGCTTGAGACTCCATCATGGATAGTGGATGACTGGTTGAAGTGGTTGAAGTGGTTGAAGTGGTCGATGTATCAACCACCGCAGACTCTGGCTTTTTTATCCTTATCCCTATCCCTATCCCTCTATTTCTCTGCCCTGACCCTGACCCTGACACAGACACAGGCTGACACAGACGCAGAGCAGCCTTCTGCCCTGAATATCAATATATCTGACTCCTTTCCTCGATAGCAATAGCACGTTGTCCCCAACAGCAACACGTTGTCTCTGTCTCTTCGCTTGCTTCTGCTCTGCTCTGCTCCGACCGAACTGGACTGAATCAGACCGAACCAAACAAGACAACAAAAAACACAGGCGTGCAGTGCAGAGAGAGGGCGAACCCACATAAACCAGCAGATTTCAAGAATATATTTTACTGTATGCTCGTATGATGGGGCCCCCACACTCACTCACACCCACAGATGTAGGATGTAGGTGTAGAAGTAGGAGTAGGAGTAGGAGTAGAAGTAAGAGTAAGGGTAGAACTAAGAGTAGGAGTAGGTAGGAGTAAGAACATAGACAAATTTGACTGTCAAGTCGTTGTTCGTTGGTCGTCGGTCGTCGTTCGACGTTCGTTGTTCGTCGTCTCAACTGCATATGTAAGCCCCCCACTCCCCCTCTTACACTAATGGATAAGCGATTCTTAGGCCTTACCTCCGCCTCCGCCTCCTAATAGGAGTCCGTAGCCAGGCCTAAGGCCAGACTCACTCGACAGACTCGCTGAACAGACACAGACTGGGGCATGGGCAGGAGCTCTTAGGCCCTTAAGCCCGCGAGAGGGGTTAAGGCGGTGTGACGGTGATAGGAATGTGCATGTGCATGTGCATTTTCTGGACTCTGTGCCAGGTCTAGTTGGAGTCTGGTCTGGCGGTGCGGGATACCGATATCCGTCCTCGTACGAGTACTGCCTTGGAGTTTCCAACTGGACTGGATTGTGATTGTGATTGTGACTGTTGGGAGTGACTGTTGGGAATCAAGACTGATGGATTGACCTGACCACCCTGGCTGTCAACTCTCTACCGTCAACTCGACCCTCGACTCTCAACCCTCGACGTTAGATACTACCTACCAGCACAGGTACAGAGTGCGGAGTGCCGAGTACTGACAAGAGAGTCGTGCGTCTGGTCCAGTCCCGTCTGATTCAGTGGTTAGGGTTAGGGTTAGGGTTAGGGTTAGGTCGAATTCGAAACAAAGTCAGGTACAGGTTTGTACAAGCATAGACAGGTACAGACAGACATGTACAGACAGTACGGAGCCGAGTACATTGATGGCGAGCCGAGTAGGTTCCCGAGTCCGAGTGAGCAGAAACAACACAACACCCTCGCGTCAGCTCATTGGTACTGTAGCACGTGTGACACACACCTATTGACAGCAAACAAGACACTGGCAGTATTCCATCTCCTTGACAAGATTGGCTTCCCAGGTTTCCACCTCTCTTTTCTCACCACTGTCACCGACCTCTCCGTCTCTCCGCCTCTCTATCTGGTCGTAAAAGCTATGCCCCTTGGTGCCCCTAAAATTGGTCCATAAGAACCTTCTTCAACACACCGCTCTGTGCCTCATACTTCTCAATCTTCGCATGGCTGGCCATCGCCTTGTCCAAACACCATTTGATTCGTGGCTTCAATTCACTCGGTGTGCCTGGCAACTCCGCCAGCGTCCTCAGCTCCGTCTCATACTTCTCCACGTTCTTGTTCTCCAGCCCGATCAACTGTGCCAGGATAGCCATGTCGAGTCTCGCCTTCAGCACCTCGTCGTCGGTCAGATATTCAAACGCGGCCTGGTACACCGGTCGCCCCGGCTTAATGCTGTACGGCCGGCCATTATTTGACGTGATTGCTATCAGTTCGGCCTGCTCCAAGGCTTGGAGAACAGCTTCGCCATCCTTGAACAAGTCATTGAGCAGAAGCTCATTATACCGCAGTGTCTCGTTGGCCGCCAGCTGTTTGATCAGCAGCCACGCTTGTTGAGGGGTCCATTTCCGACTCGACACGTCGACATCAAGAAGATACATCTTCAAGATCTCGGATGCCGATTGTTCAATGATCTGCCGAACGGCTTCTGTGGGAATGGGTTAGCATGGGCCACATCAATCAGAGTCAAAACTAAGGTCACATACTGCCCGGTGATTCGCCTGTCTTGATCCGGCGCGCGAGGAATTCCAGGTCGGTCAGTCGCCCACCCAGCACTTGGATCACGCTGTCGAGCTCGTCCAAGTCACTTCTCCGCTGTGCAGCCGTCACTTTCTCGTCCCCGGCGGCGGCGGCCTCTTCGTCGCTTTCCGCGTTGAGATGCTGGATGACCAGCCGCTTGGCCACTTCCGGCGTACAGTCGCTCAACGTGATCTGTCGGAAGACTCGGTCTGGCAAAGCCTTGCTGAGCGACTTGGAAAACGACACGTCTGTGGTCAGGAAAATGACATGGGCAATATTCTGCGTCGTCAAGGCAGCAGCCCACTCTCCCAGTTTGTCGTAGACCATCCCCGCGGCCCCTTCGTTGTTCTTGTGCAGAAAGTTGTCAATCACAACGACCGGTCGATATTCCGGATGAGCTTCGAGCCATTCGTCGTCGGACATTTGACCGTCCTTCTCGTCCTTCCGATGGGACAAGGCAATTTGCTTCAGAGCAGTAGTGGTGTTGCCCCAGATCTTGCTCAGTTGAGTCTCGAGCGTCTCCGAAAACCCCGTCTTGGTTCCAATAGTACCCATGGCGGCCAGATCGATCATGCTGCTGATGCTGTTCATCCACGAAAACACAGGTCTGTACCCTACTTCGGCGGCCGCGGCGGCAATTGTGGCGCTATCCCCCCGAGCATCCTGGATCTTTTTACAGTCAATCACCAACTTGTTCGGACGCCCTTTCAGAGCCTGGTCCATCACCAGCTCTTTTTTCCCAGCGCCCCGGGGACCCTGCACCACGATGAACGTATCTGCCGTTTCCATCAGCCATGTCTGCAGTTGATTGATCGCCCCCTGACGATCTTCCCAGATAATCTTCAGGTTGTCGTCGACGCCCTTTTGCATGCGGAGCCTGATGATGTCGTATCCACGCGACAGCTGGCTTTTAATCCACCTGTAGACCCGGTAATCCTCCAACTTGAGGCCGTGCGTGATATGCATCTTGATGAAGAAGGTCCGAATGGGATCAAACACTGCCACAGAGACCGCAGTCAACAAGGCCACCACCAAGGGAATGACAATTCGGGGATGGCCTGTGATCCAATCCCGGATCCAGTGTGCCTTCATCTTGGATTCGTAACTCAACTTCAGCAGGGTCCCAGATTTGCCGCCACCCTCCTCTGCGGGCAGGAGATAGCCATGCATGCAATTCTTGGCCACTGTCGCAAATCTCATTCTCGAATAGTCGATGTAGGCGTAGCGCGGCGTGATCTTGGAGTCTGAAGGTTGTTGAGCAATCTCTGCAATTTTGCCATACCGACGGAATAAGGAGTACAGCGTCTCCTGAGTCAATTCGGCCGCAGAAGCTTCGGGGGACGTAGGCAAAAATTCCACCTTCACCCTGGGACTGGGGATACGGTACAAGTCCTCAATCCACGGCTTTCCTCGGACCAGAAAAGCCCTCACCCGCCGAAATGGATTGAACCATGGCTTGATTGGCTTCTCCTCCAGATATGCCTTCAGCGTGCTTTCCAATTCTGTCGTACGTATACCATCCTCATGCGAGAACTTGACAAATGCTCCTCCCTCTCGCAGTCGGGGCAAAACTTGAGTGACTTTGAGCGGCAACGTGTCCGGGAGAGCTCTCTTAATAATGCTGGAGGGATCGGCCAGGGCGAGGTCTGGATGGTTGACCTTGCTCAGCGAGTTGGTGATGGCCCTCTCGGCATTGAAGAGGGGGATACGATTTAGCCATAGGAGTTTAAGAGGGAACACGTCTGGCATGCTATCAGTATGTTATTGAAGCGACCTGAAGCATCAAACCTCACTGTCAAAGAACAATATCCCTTCGTTTTTCTTGGTCTCGATGTGGCCGGTGTCATCGTCGCCAGCTTCGGTCGTGGTCGTGACTGCCCTCCGGCATGTGGACAATATAGGGGTGACAGGGCGTGGGCGCAATCTGTGTGCAGTGTAGAAGCATTGTTTCCTGAACTGCACTGCCAACTGGGGTCGATACCCCCCCAAGGGCCCTCGCGCGCTTTTCAACCAGGTCATGTTGGTACGATCTTGAGCATTGTTGTTGCCTACCGGCCAGGACTAGGAGGTGACAGGCTTCCGCATTATGCCATCACAGTGCACATGCAGACAGCGCGTGGAAGGGGAAGAAGTATATCAACAAGAAAGACTCAGCTTGGTAGAGCTGTTCGGACAGCTTCTTCTGATTGTACGTGGCCTGCGTTGCTGTGTTCTGCGTATGACGTAGATAGAGACTGGTCCTGGCTGGCAGTCGATCTGTGGCTGAGCAATTGTGGCTTGATCTCCGTGTAGGAAGAAATACGGATACTTTCTTACTTTTGCATATTTCGCATCCTGCTTCCATTCCCGTTTATCCAGCTCGCTACACTAATCATGGGCTGGTGGTGGTCCTCCAAACCGGCCTCTCCTGATGGACAGCTTCCGCCTTCCTCTCCCTCAACGGTGCATGATGAGGCGCCTTCACCGCCTACGAATACCCCCCCAATCGCAGACCCTGTCAAGCGTACCCTTTCTCGAGAGGAGCAGAGCAATCAGGAGCTGATCGAGCTCCTGAAAGAGCTTCAAGGTCAGATGGATAGCGAGCAGGTCCAGAAACCCAAGGAAGCAGGAATTTTGGCGCACTCTATCCCTGCTCCTAGCGACATATCTCCTGATTCTTTGTATCCAACCGACATGTCCTGCCGCTCCGCTCTAGATTATGCCATGTTCTGTCAAAGCTTTGGTGGACAATTCGTCAACATATACCGCTATGGTCAATTCAGGTCGTGTTCGAATCATTGGGAAGACTTTTGGCTTTGTATGAGGACGAGAAACTGGGACAAGAAGGATCGGGAACAGGCCGTTCAGGAGCACTATCGGAAGAAGGCTGTAAAATGGAAGACCGGCCCCAGTAGTGAGGACATATGGGAAGTCAGACAAGAGCCGGTGAAAGACGCCTTTCAAGGGAATCTAGAAGAACTCGAGGCGCGAATTGCAGAATGGCAGAAAGCAAATCCAGGCGCACCGGATCCATGGAAGCAAGAAAAGGCGCCAACCTTCAACACAGCCAACGTTGTGCGTTGAAGGGGGAGGGCTTCAAATGATCATTGAATACCCATGTGTTGTGATGCTCGAACGCGGTTCAGTCTACACACGCTCACCTCACGAGTGAGGCAGTTTTCTGTTTTGGCCGTCTAAACCAACACACCGAATTCTTCTCTCATCGGAATCTCTTCATCCTCCATTCAAATGCTCCGCCCTCGGGCATTGGATTTTGGCCATCATGGATTCTACAATGCCCCAATTTCTCATGACTCTGGCTCTGTCTACGACCCCGCAACAGGCTTTTGAGCAGGCCGACGCACTTCTCGTGCAGGCCTCAATGCTCCATTACCAAGCTGCGCAGCTTGAGTCGCAGGTAGATACCATCAACGAACGAGCCGAGATATTGATTACAACCGCCTCCGGCCTTCGAGTTATCGCAGAACAAGACCGTGAGAGCATCCAGTACCTTTTTGACAGCGCCTTGGAAACATACCAGAACGATGTCGCTGCGTACGAAAAGGTTCCTCACCAAGCGGAGCGGCTGCGTTCAGTGAAAGCTCGCGTGGAAGACGGAATGGTTACAATAGAAGAGTTGGAAGCTTTGCTCGAGGATATGGTGACCTTGACCACACCCAAACGGTCTGACAGATCTCTTGCGCCCGAACCTGAGAGCCCGCCAAGTCCATTGACCACCATGCCACTGTTGTTTCCTGCGGGTGTGAAGCGAGGAAGATCTGCCAGTGAGGAGGAAGAACAACAAGCCGGACCGTCTACCAAGAAAGTCAAGAGAGAGATCAAGAGAGAGAGTTCACAGGCGCAGGAGAAACGTTCAATCGCCCAAGATTTCCCCTTACGAGACGAAGACTGTGACAATCTGTCTGACATACCACTCTCGCCGATCATAACCCACAGTAGTCCTTCCAGCGCCGAGTTACTCGAGAATAGCCGAGGCCAAACCACCATGACCAGCAAGACTTCGAGTCTTACCACGATGGATCTACATGCAGCCATGTCTGAGACCATGCAAACCGCAGACTCGGACTCGTCCTACGGCCGCAAGAAGTTCAAGAAAGCCAAGTCTGATAGCACCAAGAATCCTACAAGCACGGCCAAGGGCAAGAGGCACAGAAAGCGCAAGGCCAAGGAACAGAGAAAAGCCAGCTAAGGGCGTGCAGGTTTACTAACGCAGTGTCGTTGGTCTCTTACTGTGATCAGTGTCGTTGGTCTCTTGCTGCAATCCATGTAGGAAGCATGGCTATGTGGCGCCACGGAGCTTCATAGCAGGCTAGAACTTGTTGGAAGTTATCACACTTGAAAAGAAGGGAGAGCCGATATCGTCTCCCATGGCAGGTTGAGAATCGCTGAGAATTGCTTCAGCTGAAATAATGCACATGTCAGAACTCTTGTTTCACTGTCTCGGTTTCGTTACATCGTCAGCCTTCCACCACACAAACTGGGGGCTCAGTTACCTGACTTACCTTGCCTTGCCGCTTCTCATTTCCTCTTCCATTCACTCCTTTTTCTCATTTCTCATCTCTTGCTTTGATCTTGATCTTGATGCGTTTCCGACCTCCGTTCCGTTTCGTTTTCGTTTGTTAAATTTTTTCCTCGACCATGGCTGCTTTGTGTCTGGGCCCGGGCCTGCTCGATCTCAAAGCCGACTTCCTGGAGACCCAGTCTGGGCTTGTGAAAGATCTTGCCATTGACATCCACGAAGCGGCCAGTCTTCTCGGATACAAAGCGTATGATTTTGAAGCCGGAGCATCGTATCTGCGCAAGCAAGCGCGCAAGCAAGCATGGGGCATAAGAGAAAGATCGGTCGAGGCGAGAAAGATGGCAGGTCCAGAGCCAAAATCAGACCCAGACCCAAATCCAGGCCCAGAACAAGAACAAGATGGGGAAAGGACCGATGATGCTGGTGAAAGGATCGATAGTGCTGGAGGAAACACTGATCATGCTGGCGGAAGCGAAACCGATCTTTCAGGTCTGGCCAGCTTAGCAGCCGAGACTATGCAAGTCGCTCAACAGGTCAAGATCGGGTTGCGGACTCTGGTCGAAATCGTCTGCGGACCTGGACCTGGTAACAAAGTTGAGATTGGTGGACATGGCTTGACCGCTCATGGCACCGAGGCCACTGCTCTCGGCACTACGCTGGTGAATGCTGTTCCTGCTTCTGCTACTGCTACTGCTACTGCGCCTGCTGCCAGTAAGGACAAGGAACTCTCGGCAGCCAGTAAGGAAAAGAAACTCTCGGCAGCCAGCAAGGACAAAGAACTCTCGACAGCCACGCCAATTACTAGTAGTACGCCAGCTTCAAGAGTCGCCCAGAGGGGGTTCCCCCGCCACCACTACCACTACCATCGCTACCGCAGCTCCGAGTTGTCGCCAGTGCATCATCGTATTCGGGCCGGTGCCCGTGTCAGCAAATATGCGGTGCAGAAAACACAAAAAGCAAACACTGCGCAGAAAACACAGAAATCAAGGGTCGATGGGACTGCATGGAAAGCACAGAAATCCAGGGCCGATGGTTCCGCTAAGCCACTGTCAGCGGCCGGAGAATGGCATACATCCACGTCTACATCTATGATACCGAGGCTGGGACTGGTCCCCATGGTCGAGGATACAGACGAGCAGGAGCAGTGTCCTCCACCTCCAGAAACGGAGATGTGTCTGGTGCCGAGGAAGTTCATGTCTATGACCAAGGGACAGTGTTTGGCGGCTATCGGCACATGCCAGTGCGGCGAAGGTGAATTTGGCTGTGGATGTGGATCTGCAACTTCATCTCTTCACTGTAACGTTCTCGAATCGCGGGACGAGGGTGGCGACGAAGCCGAAGATGAAGACGAACCTCAAGCCGATGATGAACCTCAACTCGATGATGAACCTCAACTCGATGATGAACCTCAACTCGATGATGA